CTATTATACATATAGTTCATCGGTCTCTTTAATTCCCACATTGAAAAAGAAACAGTAAGACAAGCTGACTAGAAATGTACTTTGTATTTAAGATCCATGAGAAGAACATACCAAAGCAGTTTCTAATTGATAAACTAAAGAGGAAGGAAAGAAGTGTGGGTGTTATTTGCTGAGAATTGATAGCATCAAGCAGACTGTAAGGCAGCAATCACCAAAGTTTAAGTGCAGGCAGAATTTTTTAAGTGAGAGGTGAAAAAGATAAGGATTGTCAATCTATTCTCAATAGTTGAGTCATAGTCACACTCATTTCACAGTTGAACAATGGCAACAGAGATGCCCACAAATTCAAAGCTGAGTTGGGTAATAGGTTAGAAAGTGGACTTAGAAGTCCTCATGTTGCTCTTCCTGGAACCCATCTGCTTAGCATTTATTCATTTATGGAACCTTTATTGGACTTCTACAATAAGGACTATGCTATACCCTAAAGAAACTTAGGTGAATAAGACATCCCCAGCATTAAAGCCTGAAGCATTAAAGGGAGGTCAGGCACAAAGCAACCAACAATAGGGCCACAGTGCAAGTGTGAGATGCAAAGTGCCTTTGGGGAATTGAAAGAAGTTGTGATGGTCAGAAAGACTGATAGGAATTTGGCTAGGAAAAAAAAAAAAAAGCCTTGAAAACCATATTTAAGACCTTACCATTTTATTCTGTAGATAATAGCGAATCTCTATAATTTTGAGGAGGAGGAAACAATGATCGGATAACTCTGATGATGTGAAAAACAGTTCTGACAAGTGGTATATGGCCCTATCTCTAAATGAGAAATGCCATGGACCTGTAATGTAAGAATAGAGAGCCTGGTATGCATGGGAGAGACATTTTGGAGATACTCAACAGTACTTGGTGTGTATGAGTATATGGAAGGTAAGGGTGGAGGGATCAAAAGTGACTTAAACACTTACCCTGAGCAGCATAAAATAGTTAAGCTACGGACGGACAGAGCATTCTGACTGGAGGAGGGGTCCTAGCATAAGTAACAGCAGGAGAAAGAATAGGCTATGGGGAGAAGGTGAGTCCTATGTTGGACATATTTATAATGAATTACCTCCAAGAGAAGATGCACAAATATATTTAAACATGTGACTTTGGAAAAGGGAAAACTCAGACACAGAGTTATGGATTTAGGAGTTATCAGTGAAAAACTAACAGTAGAAGCCATAGGACTAAACAAGATTACTCAAATTAAGAGTATAAAGCAGGAAGTTTAGAAGCATGATAACAGAATATATTTAATACTAAAATAAAGTGATGAACCAAATAATAATTTATAAGAGTAATATTAGAGTTAGAAGGAGAAACAAGAAACAGTAAGGTTGTAGAAGTCAAAGGAGATTTTTCTGGGCCAAGTCTGAAGCAATGAATGTAATTTCTGCCTGTATTCCATTAGCCAGAATTCAATCACATTACCCTCTTGAATGTGAATGCAAGGTCCCTGGCAAAGTAGCCACTTCACCACAGCTCTTGACTGCGCTAAGGAGCACAAATCTTTTGTAGGCTGCTACCTATCTCTGCCCCAAAATGTTGGTCTCACTGGATCTCCCTAAGTAATTCTCCGCATTTGCCTCTATAACAAAGACATTTTACAGCAGCAAACATTATTTCAGTCCAAATTATGAGATAAATAAGATAGGCTTTAGATTGCAACCAGTTCCTTGCCAGCTGGCTATGACTAAACCACTTTATTACATCTGAGCACTACACAGAGGAATATCAGAACACTTTGGTGTTATTTCTCTGAAACACCAAAGTGTTGTATATAAAGTTTGTCATTCCAAGAGCTAATGAAATCTATGTGACTACACATAATGAAATCTATGTGACTATGATTAGAACAATGGAGAAAACATCCATACTAGAAATACTTTATTCCATCTGTTAGCATGTTCAGTGCTACAAATAGAAACTTAAGGGCTAGCTATCTCCCGAGGGGGGTGAGGAGGACACTAAGTGAAAATCTATTAGAAAAACAAATATAGTGCCATTATATGTTTTGTATAAAACAAGTTATTTAACTTCCAAACTGTTAAATGTGCAGTGGTGGAGGGAGGGTGATTCTTTCTTTAGAAAAGGTTTTTTTCTTCTAAGAGACCTCATTGCTCTCAACTTTTGAGGTCTAGGGCAATAGGGTTATCATGCAAGGATAGCTCCTCACTGCCTTGTAATCCACAGTTGTCTAAGGGTGAATATCACTTGTCTCTAGTAATCCATATGGACGGGCTGAAAATGAGAATGGAGGTAGGATCTACACTCTACTATTCTGAATACTCCCTTCTCTGCTTTTTGTCAGAGCACGTATATATCCAGGACAGGGGACCAGGGACAGTGCTGGGAAAGAATCTTCAACTCTGACCTAAGGCTAGAGGGAGAAAATAAAACAAAATCACAGGCTAAAGAAAACCAATTAAGAGGCTACTGGTGATCTTAGATAATAATAAGACTAGGAGTCAAAAGGAATTGAGTTCAGGAGTAAGAAAGTGATAAGAAAAATACACATAAATGTTGACAAATGTGGTGTAACACATCCAGACCATAGGTTAGCCAGGGGCACCATATTTTATTAGAACAGTAAGGCATAAATGGAAATGCCAGCATATATTGTAAATTGCTTTTACCCTTTGTATCCTGAACACCATAAGCTTTGAGTTCAGTGAACTGATCAGTTATTCTCTTACGAGTAATATAATTTTATTATGTCTAAAAAGAAAAGAATTACAGTGTCTCCTTCATCTTTCTCTTGGCCTATATTGCTTGTTGTTTCTCCTGTGTGCCTGATGAGCAACAACAAAGTAAGCAGTACTTTAGCTAGTTTCTGTAGCTAGCTAAAATGTATACTAGAGAAATGCAAATATCTTACTAGGATTTCTTAGTTATGGTAGTAAAATGAAGGCACTAGGGCAAAGTCAATTTTGTGTCTAACTGAAATTTCATTTTCTTGTCAAGACATGAACTTCCCCCCTTAATTCTGATAAGCATGGATTTTCATTAATTACCTGAAGCATAGGTGGTGGATCAGAGGCCTGTATTCAGGAGTTCTAGTTACTATGTACAGCTATGGATGAGTTATTTAGAGTAATAATTCTTATACCAGGGAGGCTACTGATGGTTCCATGAAGGCTATCCTTGTCTGAGATATTCTCCACTTAAATAACTTCCCTGCAATTGTGGTTCATCTTATCCAATCAGATAACCACTTGAATTCAGAAATTCTATGAAGCTCGAGATTAGAACGTGGTAAAATTATTTTTTAATCTTATTGGAATGAAATCTCCATGAGATGATACCTGTAAGATGGGAAATCTTACTGAAACTTAACAAAAACAAAAACCAAGAAATAAAGAACATGTTTGTTTTTTAGGCTTCAGTGTGAGATATCTCAAATATAAACCTGGCAGAGTAGCCAGTGTTCAATATGAAAGAATATCGTCCAGTAGACATTTGGGCTTCCTCTCAAGGAAGTGTTACCAACAAAAATTCACTTGCTACTTTTTCCTTCTGTTGGATTAATTCACTGGATTTTAAATTAAAATTGGGTTCATTTCCCTTTTCTTTGACACTTCAAATGAAAGGAATAGAAGAATGGTATTACCAGTGACATTAGTACTAACCTGGTGGGAAGTAGAGTTACTTAAAGTAATACAGTTCCACAGAGAGTTCTGTGTCCACAGAGCTAGAGCCAGTGTGGTGAGAAGGTACATCCCAAAGGCGATCGAATGTCTTTTCTTTAATGCCCAGTTTTCTTTTGCTTCCAAAAATTTTTATGGGAAACTTTTATATGCAATATGCTGTGCTAGGTGCTTTGAAGAACATAAATCACTCAGAATTTCTGTCATAAATGTAAACAGAAACACACATAACCCTCGATATATACACATGCATACACACATACCTATCCATACATACATTCATACTTCAAGGAGTATTTCATTAGGATGCTTTGAGCTAGAAGAAATAGAAAATTCTAACTCGAATGGATTAAATAACAAATGTTTAGATACTTCATATAACAAAAAGTTCAAAATTAGCCAGCTCCTAAGGCTGTACAGTCAGGGCTCAGGTGCTATATTTCTGCAATTCTCTTAGCTTAATTCTTCATTTGGCTTTGTCTTAGAGTAGCTGCCACATGACCACAAGAGGGCCACAATAGTTCTGGGCTACAGGGACAGATAACACAGCATGCAGAGGCAGAAAGGGGGTTTTCTCTTTCATCACAGAGTGGGAATCTGTTAATAAAGAGATCGGAAGGAATGGATGCCAGCAGGAAACCTACAGTCTAGTAGAGGAGAGAGCACGTGGAAGGGTGGTAGATACTGTATAAAACATATAAAGTATATATAATGGTCGTTCCAAAGAAAAACTACTCCTTTTCCTCTACTGGAAGGAAAGGGAAGATAGCTGCTGACCAGAGAATACTTCACTTAGGGAAGAGGTTATTAATCCAGTTTGAATTTGAGGTACTCTGGGACCTCCAGGTGCAGAAATCCATAGACAGTTGGATGTATACTGATCTAAGGCTGAGAAGTCTAACTTGAGAAAAAGATACAGGATGCAGGTGGTGGTGAAGGCTCTGAGGATGGATGAGCTAATTAGAGGACAGACCAGGACCAAAAATGAGATCCTAGGAACACTGACATTTAAAGCATGGGTGAAATAAAGTAGTTAACAGAGACAAAAAATAAAAATGAAAATCTTTTCGTGCCATCTGTGTGTGGGATGGATGTAAGCTAACTAGAAATGACATTTTTGTGATATTCACACATGTGATTTGGGTAAAGGACTGGTAAAAGCTAGGAACTTTCCTTTGCCCAGTTGCAAGTGTCCTTCCCTAAGAAACTGGTTGAATGAGACAGAATCTTGGAGGTTTGGCTAGACCTGAACAGTCCTCCACCCAAAGCAGAATTTGTACATTAACATTTCTAAAATGAGTTTCTTTTTCTTTGCAGGAGTGGTCACACATTACTTGCCTTTTGGTTTTCCCGCCAAGAGGGAAAACTAAACCGACAGCAGACTATTGAACTGGGACATCACATCCTCAAAGCCCACATTTTTAAGGTAACTAGAGAAGTCAGAGGCTTTTTTCTTTACATCTCCAGCAGGCTTTTCTTAACAGTATTTTTCAAGCTACTGTCATTTTAGTAAAGTCCTTGCTTTCTGAAATTATTTTGTTGCAAAGCCAGTCCATGTCCTGAAAAGTATGACTGTTCCTCCCTAAGCATTTGGAAAGAAAATCTCATTTGTCAACCCAGTTTAACGGACTGCTGTGCTTTCCAGGAAATGTACATGCATTATCATTTAGATGAGAAGCATATAGATGTATATTCAATATATGACCTATGATCTCCTGAGGACAGTCATGTTGTAGCAGTTAGTTGCAGATTTTCACAGTATCTAAAAAAAATCACTGAGAGCAAGTACTGTTTCAATTTTCTTATAAATCTTTTTTTTAATTTGTTTTTGTATTTTATTGATTTGAGAGAGAGAGAGAAACATCAACCTACTGTTCCACTTATTAAGGCATTCATTGGTTGATTCTTGTATATGCCTTGACCACGGATTGAACCTGCAACCTTGGTGTATCAGGACAACACTCTAACCAACTGAACTGCCTGACCAGGGCCTCATAATTCTTTTAGTGAAGATTTTAGTATTTCTAGTGCTGTGATGTTCAAAGCATCTGGAACCATTCTCTCTTCAGATTATAATCCCAATTTTTCTCCCAGTAGTTTCAAAACTTTTAAGTACTCTATAACATCAGCTCTCATCTCTCAACATTCACAAAGCTGGAAGGGAGGACCCAGAGGAGGGCATATCATTCACTATTTGTGCACAAATGCATTTTTTACTCAGCGCTTACTGAGGCATTGTCCTAGGTACTAGTGCTGCAAAAACAATAAAGATGCAGACCCTAATCTCAAGGAATTTTTAGTGTTCATACTAGTATAGGGCAGTGTTTCCCAAAGTGTGGTACGCGTACCCCCAGGGGTACGGGAAGAGTTTGGTGGGGGTACGAGTTGCACCAGAGTTTGGTGGGGATATGCACTGCACCGTGCTTAGCTGCACCTAATACATCCATTTTTTTTTTTTTTTGACAAGGGGTACTCAGTGTTACGAAAATTATAAAAGGGGTACACATATGTCAAAAGTTTGGGAAACACTGGTATAGGGTAAAAACACAAAGGTCAAGGAAAAAATGTTATTATATATTTTTCTGGAAGTCTTTACAGTCTCTTCAGACTGCTTTTCCTGGCTCAGGATTGAAAGATATAGGTATCTTAAACTGTTCTCTGGGTTGGACTTCCTCCAGGAGATACTGTTTAAGATAAATCATTTCTCTTCAGAGAGAAAGATGGCAGGAAGGACAATTCAAAGAGCCTAGCAAATCTTTCCCGTATGTAAGCACACAGCCAGAGAAGCCTGTTCATCAGATAGACAGATGTGAACCCACAGTGACAGGTCCTTTATTTGAATCATAATTTTCTTCTCTGAAAAATCACTGTACTTTAAAAAAAAAATTTTATCTTACCCAATGATAAGTGGGAGCAGAGTGGTACTAAAATAACAGGCGAGGTGGCTCCTTCCTCTTTGAAATGGGCCAAAAAGTATCTGCTACTTTGAGAAATTCTGAGATAATTATTCTTCAGTTAGATAGGAAATTTAACTTTTAAGCATTACCACTTTGAACTCTTAAGCTTTCAGCATCACTGTTTGCCTAGGATCAGATGCAAAGCAATTTATGCTTGTCTTTTCTGTATCATAAAATGAACACCACATTAACAGGTAAATGATAAGAAGTTTTGTTTGACCCCCTGTGACTGTATCCAGTGCATAGAGACCTACATTTTAATCATACACCCATCATTGGCACAGTTTTATCTTATGTTGCTACAGACAACATGGTTGCCTAAGATAAGAGTGGCTCCCTGTGTGATTCAGGCCATAAATACTTGGGTGTACAGCATAGGTGCTGACATGACTGCAAGTAGAAGAATGTAGACTTGGACTACGGTTCTCCTGATGCTGCACTTTTAGGGTCTTTTAAATGCAGAGTGCTCCCTGTTGCTAGGCTTTGGTTTCCCCCAGACTGCTAGAATTCTCAGTGCCCATCGGCTGCAGGTCATGAAAAGGCAAAAATAGACTCTAAGCCACTTAGAACCTCTTATCAGTAGTGACATGTAGCCCAATTTATATTTGTTTCCAATTAATTTTAAATTTCCCTTATTTTAATTATCTTTGTGAAAAAGTACATATCATGTCATTAATCAGTCTAAAAATCTGAGGTTGTGGGTCTGTGATTCTTGAGATTAGGCTGGCTATGGAGCCCTTTTCATTCTTTTTGCTTCTAACAACTTCATTGGGGTCTAATTTATATATCATAAAATTCACTCATTTTACTCCTACAAGTCAGTGACAATTAGTATAAGTCGAGACATGTAACTATCACCACTATTGGTACTTTTACCCTAGAAATAACCTTTGTGCCCATTTGAAGGTACTCTACATGCTGCATCTAGCTTCTGGCAACCCACCGATCTACTTTCTGTCTATAGATTTGACTTTTCTGGACATTTCATATAATGGAATTATACAATATGTGATCTTTTGTGTGTGGCTTCCTTCACTTAGCATGAAGTTTTCAGGGTTTATCCATGTTGTAGCCTATATCAATACTTGATTAATTCTTACTGCCAAATAATCTATTTTGTTTATTCATTCACTAGTTAAACATTCAGGTTGTTTCTACTTTTTGGCTATTATAAATAATGCTGCTATGAACGTTAGTGTACAGATATCCCCCTTTTTAGTTTTTTTAAAATAAAATTAGCTGTTTTAAAGTGAACAACTCAGTGGCACTGAGCACATTTACAGTGTTATTGTTCAGGTTTTTGTGAGGATGTCCTCAGATATATATCTAGAAGAGGAATTGTCAGTTTGTTTTTCAAAGTGACTGTACTTTTTCACAATCCCACCGGCAATGTATGAGTGTTCAGCTTTTTTAAACCTTTGCCAATACTTGTTAGACATTGTATTATCTTTTCTTGATATTAAGACAATCATATGCACTATGCCACAAAATATAATTTAGCCATATTAGTGGATATGAAGTAGTTTCTTACTGTGATTTTAATTTGTATTTCCCTAATGACCAATGATATTAAGCACTTACAATTCTTTTATAATCCTCTCATTGCTATTTAGATTTTTTTTTAATCTATGAAAAGAAAGCAGGGTGTTTGTAAATTGTGACCAGAGATATTTTAATCTAGTTTGTGATGCAGGGTGTTTCACTGGTTTGGGTCTCTTCACTGGAATGATTTTGGAATGCTCTTACATTAGTTCCCTAAATGCTACCTTATAAAATGCTCCTTGGATTGGTCAATCCTATAGCATTTCTTACCAGAACAGAACTGTTGGACAGGGGGAAAGTACTATAAGTAGACATTTAGAGCAGCGATTGCCAATATATTTGTAAATGACTTGCCTTATTTCATTATTTTGGCACAAATAGTATCACATTAAATAACCTCCCAAGGTTAGTTTTTGCCATGATCTTAAGATACCTGAGCCATAGTTAAGATCCCTAAGATGAGATTGCTCTTGCTTCTTCATGCTTTCATTTTCTTCAGGAAATATTCAAAAATACTGATCAAGTTTCCTACCAGCTAGTAAAGTGTTATAAATTTAGATTCTAACTAATATTTAAGAAAGGGACTCCATTACCATTCATCTCTGACAAAACGAGATCCCTTCTTGCCTGAGCAATAGTTATAGATACTAAAAAGACCTTTTTCTAGTTGTCTGAACCTCAAGGTCTCTTTAAGAATCCATCAGTTTAGAATTATGTGGGGTTTTTGCTACCTTCTGCTTGGTAATGGAATCTGCCTGTCACCTTTGTCAACTTGAGTTTCACTAAACTGAACTCTTAGGAGCAAAGGGCCAACCCCACCAAGCAGAAGAAATCAGTAAACTAACAAGTCCGTAGTACAAGGAAAACTTTACCACAAATCCTAGAATCTAGCTCTGTATTTCAGACTTATTTCCTCTGTATTTATTCCAGCCTCACTGGGACTGAGTGCTGTTTTGTGGTCTCTTTACTGGACTATTTAATTGAAGTTAATTACCAACTCCTTTTCCCATTTTTTCTCCTCTAGCTCTTAACCAAGTCAACTAACTAAACAGACTGACTTATGAGTCACTGAAAAAATAAAGCAATCAAGTGTGACTTTTTTAACTACTCTCCTCCTCTCACCAGTAAATCAGTTTATATCATTATCAATTCTTACCTTTCTTTTTCTCATCTTAGGAGACAAGATATCCCTGTTCCTATTTTTTTATTATGAAATATATCAAACACATAAGAAAGCAGAAATAATTGAATAATCAAGTACTGTACCATTTTTAAAGGTGTTAAGATTTGTCCATGTTTGCTTCAAGTCTTTTTATGTTTAAGAAAAAAATACAATAGAAGTCCCTTTTGTATCCTTCTCTTACCCCATTTCTCTCCCTTCTCAGAGATAATTTCTATCCTGGAGTTAATATGTGTTCTTCTCATCCATAATTTATACTTTTCCAACATAGATATATATTCATAAACAATAAACAGAATTATTTCATTATTTTTAAACCTGGCACAAATAGTATCACAGTTGTTATATAATTCTATGTATATTTGAGATTTATCAAGAGATCTAAATCAATGGTTTTCAACTTGTGCATACAGTAGTCTTTTATCCAAAGGGGATACATTCCAAGACCCCCAGCGGAGCTTCTTCATCAGTGAATGTAGCCTCTCTGGTAATTTTTATATTTTTTAGTCCAAACCTCCTCCTGAGTTTGTGTAACCATTCTCTACTTGTGGTAAATGGCTAGATGTCACTTGTTTCAGGGGATGCCTTGTGGAAGTTTTCATACAGGCTTCATGCTTTCTGGTATAACTTGTTGTTTTCTATTCATGTTTTCCATCCACAAATTTAACATGCTGTCTATCTTAACTAAGCACTTACACACACTGGGATCATAACTTTTGCAGTTGACCATACAAAACTAATACAATTTCATTTTTCTTGTTCACAAAAAAGATTTGTCCTTACTGTAGAGATTAACAACTTCATCATACTTTTTGATTTTTTTAAGTCAAGAACTTTTATCTTTTCACTTAAAGGAAGTATTTTACACCTTCTCTTTGATGTATTTGAATCACAAGCATCCCTACTCTTGTGCTTTGAGGCCATTATTAAGTAAAATAAGGGTTACCTGTGGTGGCACTGAAATACCACCACAGTCAATCTGATAACTGTGGCCACTACTAACATGACTACTTGGCAGGTATTGCATACAGCGTGGATACACTGGGCAGAGAGATGATTCACATCCCAGCATGATGGAGCAGGACTGCAAGATATCATCATGCTTCTAAGAATGATGCACAATTTAAAACATGAATTGTTTATTTCTGGAATTTTCCATTTAATATTTTCAGACTGCAAATTATGACAAGTAACTAAAACCACAGTAAATAAAACCACGAATAAGGGGGGACTATTATACATTAGATTCTCCTGGAGAACTTTGAGCACATACACATATTTCTGAGCCTTACTCCCAGAGACCATTGTTCATTATTCTGGAGTATAGCCCAGGCTTCTGATTTTTAATTAGTATGTTTTACTTCTTAGAGCAATTTTAGGTTTACAGAAAATACAGTTTGTTTTCATATACCCATTCCCCCCACCACATTTCCCCTATTATTAAAATCTTGCACTGGTGTGGGACATTTGTTATACTTGATAAGCCTATATCGACATATTAACTGAAGTCCATAATTTACATAAGGATTCATTGTGTGTGTTGTATAGTTCTATGGATTTTGCCAAATGTGTAATATTATGTATCTACCATTACAGTATCATACAGAATAGTTTCACCTTATAAATTCCAAAGCTATCAAAAGCATCCTAGGTAACTGTAGAATTGGCAGACACACCCAGTGGGAAAGCAGCTCTAATGAAGCCCATCTGTTCTGGGCTTCATTCTATCCTATATCTTTGCCCAGCAATTCTTTTTCAACTTGTAGTTCTTTCATGTCTTCAAGGAGGATGTGCATTAAATTTTGTACAGTTTTTCCAGTTGTCCTTAGCAGGAATGTTTGTCCAAATTACCTAGATCAACCATTACCAGAAGTGGAAATCCACCCAAAATCCCCTAAGCAAAAATTATCACACAACGTTCTGAGAACATCCAGCTTTACTCTAAACAGCTTAGGCTTTCTCATTTAAAATTTACTTGGTGCCCTGAATGACTGAAACTATCCTGGGTATCACGCAGAAAAAAAGGGTAATTTACATTCAAGGGTAATTTAAATTCAAGACTTGTAGGCCCTAAGCAGAGGAGTGAGTTGCTACATCTTTCAGAGAAGCTAAATACACGTTGCTGATTTGAACATAACTAGGAGAATGTGCATTTAAAGGCATAAAGCAAGCAGAAGTAGCTTTAAGTTTTTAAAAAGATCTAATAACTAGATCTGATCTCAAACTTCATTGTTAATATCTTCCTGCCCTCAGGATTTCCTGGTTTAACTCTTCTCTTGATCCAGATACTGGCAGAATGATAAAATAACTGTGAAAGAGTCTTGCCCAAACAACAAAAAATTTAAAACACAAATTATTCTAACTTCCTTTTGGAGAAGCCCATGTGAAAGAGGCAAACATTAGTACATGCCATAGGAACTAGGCCAGCCATATAAGAGAAAATTTGTTGCTGATGGCAGTCAACCTATGTTGTTGTTTTCCTGAGGGTGAACAGACATGATCATTGCACTGTGTATCATGGAGAGGAATGTTATCTAATGTAATAAACCTACAAAATCCCATTGACTTAACAAAGGTTTATTTCTCATTTACATTACAATTCAGTACAGATCCTTGGACATGCTTCTTCCACTTAGTAGTAAAATCTCCAAAGACCTCAGAATCCTCCATTCAAGAACAATAGAAAGTGTGGAGAGGCCCTGGTGGGTATGGTTAGTGGTTGAGCATCAACCCATGCACCAGGAGGTCATTGGTTCGATTCCCAGTCAGGACACATGCCTGAGTTTCGGGCTTGATCCCCAGCATAAATTTGTGTGTGTGTGTGTGTGTGTGAGGTGGGGCGGCTAATGACTTGTCTCAATATTTCTTTTTCAGGGTTTGAGTAAAAAAGTTGGTGTGTCATCCTCCATCCTCCAAGGTCTCTGGATCTCCTACAGCACAGAAGGTCTGTCCATGGCATTGGCATCTTTAAGAAATCTCTACACTCCAAATATAAAGGTAAATGCATACAAGTTATGTAGATTAAAGAATTAACTGTGAAACATAGAATTAGGAGGACATTTAAGTGGCTATTTAATTGAGCTTTGACTTGCCTTGTCTATTAGCCTTTTATTGATAAATAAAGGCCCAGTCCACAAATTCATGCACCAGTGGGGTTCCTTGGCCTGGCCTGCAGGATCAGGCCAAAACCGGCTCTCCAACATCTCCTAAGGTCTCCTGGATTCTGAGAGGGTTCAGGCCAGGCCAAGGGACCCCACTGGTGCATGATCAGGGCCGGGGAGGGACAAGGAAGGGCTCCAGGGCGTGTCTGGCCCATTTCCCTCAGTCCTGATGGGCTGAACCCCAGCAGCAAACTAACCTACCAATTGGAGCATCTGCCTCCTGGTAATCATGCACATCATAGCAAACGGTTGACCCGTTGACTGTCTGCCCCCTGGTGATCAGTGCACATCATATCCAGCAGCTAAGCAGCCTTAGCATATCATTAACATATTATGCTTTGATTGGTTGAATGGACGACAGGACACTTAGCATATTAGGCTTTTATTCTATAGGATTTTTTAAAATATATTTTATTTCAGCCGAGACCGGTTTGGCTCAATGGATAGAGCTTCGGCTTGAGGACTGAAAGGTCCCTGGTTCGATTCCGGTCAAGAGCATGTACCTTGGTTGCGGGCATATCCCTAGTAGGGGGTGTGCAAGAGGCAGCTGGTCGATGACTCTCTCTCTCATCGATGTTTCTAGCTCTCTATCTCTCTCGCTTCCTCTCTATACAAAATCAATAAAATATATTTAAATATATATATATATATATATATATATATTTTTTTTTTTTTTTTTTTTATTTCAGAGAGGAAGGGAAAGGGAGAGAGAGAGAGATGGAAACATCATTGATGAGAGAGAATCACAAATCGACTACCTCCTGCATGCCCCACACTGGGGACTGAGTGCCTGCAACCCCAAATATATGGCCCAACTGGGAATCAAACTGTGACCTCCTGGCACCTAGGTTAATGCTCAACCACTGAATCATGCCAGCCAAGCCAATAATATGTTTTAAATGTTTATATTTTATTCTGTGAATTAAAGAGCAAACTATTAACTTTATATAAGTCAGGCCACTAATTTATAGGATCAGGTCCTGCTGCTTTTAGGGAGTAAGTCAATCTCAGGTAGCTTTTGTTTTGGTAGGGGCTTTTCTGACCAACAGTTCAATGATAGAGACTATATTCAGCACTACAGTACAGATGGCATTTTCTCTGGTGATTAAATAGTTTATGTAAAAAGACATTTACGTTGCTTTCACAAGGCAAGGTATTGGAAAAAAGGAACACATAACAATTATAAAACAAAGCGGTTAATTAAGTGCTACTAGACACTATTATGGGGTCCCAGATGACTTAATAAAAGATGACTAAGCCGAAACCGGTTTGGCTCAGTTGATAGATCATCGGCCTGCGGACTGTAAGGTCCCAGGTTCGATTCCGGTCAAGGGCATGTACCTTGGTTGCGGGCACATCCCCAGTAGGGGGTGTGCAAGAGGCAGCTGGTCGATGATTCTCTTACATCGATGTTTTTAACTCTCTATCCCTCTCTCTTCATCTCTGTAAAATATCAATAAAATATATATTTTTTTAAAAAAGAAAAAGATGACTAAAAGGATATGACTAATATTTTTGAGTGTTATTTTTATTTACTTATTTCTAGGTCAGCCGACTGCTGATTTTGGGAGGTGCCAACATTAATTATCGGACAGAAGTTTTAAATAATGCCCCAATTCTGTGTGTCCAGTCTCATCTTGGTTACACAGAAATGGTGGCCCTGCTCTTGGAGTTTGGAGCCAATGTGGATGTCTCTTCTGAAAGTGGCCTGACTCCTCTGGGCTATGCCGCAGCGGCAGGCTACCTGAGCATCGTTGTGCTGCTGTGCAAGAAACGGGCGAAGGTAATGGCTGTCTGGCTCTGCTGCCTCTCCTTTCTCCCCTTTATCTTTCTTCCTGCTGTAGTCATCCTTATCTCCTGTGTTACCTCATGAATCCAGGTGGAGCACATCAAACTCTGATAGGGAGCAGATCAAAGGGAGTATGGGCTTCACAGACATCCCAGTGTTTGCATGCCAGCTCCACACTGCATCTGGACACAGTCCTAAACCATTTGAGGGGCACTTAGAAAATCTCATTAGCAGCAGCCACAAAAAGTCTCTACCTAACAACCAAGAAATTCTCTACTGAGCTCAGAGTAAGGAAGGAAAAGGTGGAGGAGCAGGGAGACTGCACTGGGGAATCTGAACTGAATGGTGCCTGCAGCCTCAGCCTTTCATGTGTAAAGATAAGTTAACCATGGAGATAAGAACAGAGACCAGACTCCCTCTTCCTATCCTTAAAGGTTACCACCGAAGAGGTATGGGGAGAAGGTGGCTCTCTCTGGTTATCCTCAAACTGACCAGAGGCACTCAGACTGTTTCTGTTAGTATATTTTAATTCTCTAAAAACCTTTCTGAAAAATGTGTTTGCTTTATAGTAACCCAAGAGCAACTGATGTAAAATAACTCAATTTCAAAATATTGGTGAAAAGAAAAGTGTTGGCCTCAAAATGGAGGTCTCTGGGGAAATCACAGCCTTGTGGTATTTTGTTTCAGTCCTGAAAACAAACTGAGGATTTTGGTGGTTTTACCATGAAATATAAGTAATATGAAATATAAGTATAACCTCATTCTGAGGTGTCCAGTGTATTTACCAGTGAAGAGAATGGGACTCCTGAGACTCCCTTGGGACCTGGAACCTGGGACTCTCAGTGGAATCCCTGAGCCTCTGATGTTTACGGTGACACAGTAATGGACCACCTCTAAAGTCCTGTTCAATAGAATGAACACCTCAAGAAATAGAATGATACGCCGGGACCGGTTTGGCTCAATGGATAGAGCGTCGGCTTAGGGACTGAAAAGTCCCGGGTTCGATTCCGGTCAAGGGCATGTGCCTTGGTTGCGGGCATATCCCCAGTGGGGGGTGTGCAAGAGGCAGCTGATCGATGACTCTCATCGATGTTTCTAACTATCTCTCTCTCTTCCTCTCTGTACAAAATCAATAAAATATATATATTTTTTTAAAAAGAAATAGAATGATAATTGGGCCTTATTTCTGTTGCTGTGAATTCACATTTTAATGGGGTCTTTCCTGCTGCTCCGCTGTCATTTTATTCATCTCTTATTTTCCCCACAGTAGATGTATAAATCTTTTGTGTTCTTTTCAGTACCCTCTCAAACTTATTTTACCTTCCTACATTACTAAGATTGAGTTCCTCTCAATGTTTATCTGAAAACTAAGAATCCTTGCCTACACACCTCTTTACCTCTGCCTTAGGAAGGAACTATTTCCTTCCCTTTCCAAAACAGTGGCCTCCACCTATATTTTTTATCTCAGTAAGTTGCTCATTCTCTCACATTGTATTTCATTCTTTTTCTACATTTATACTGCCTTTCCCCCAATTTCTACAAATCTATGACTGTCTTCTCTAACTCAAAAGAGAGATTTTCCTTTCTCCTGCTAACCAAAAGTGCCCATATCTTACCTTCCATATCTACCACATCTGTATTTGCTAGCTCTGTTCACTTAGTACTCCTTAACTACTTGCCGAGTGGCTTCCATGAGAGAAGGAGGAGACAAGTCATTAAAAATTATATTCTTTGGGATCAAACACAACTTGGTCAAATCCTGTATTTGCACTTACTTTCTGTGAGTGCTTGGAGAAGTCATTGAACCCCTCTCAGTCTCACTTGTTTCATCCTGAAAATAGGATAATTAAAAACAAGAAAGCCTTTTTTAAAAAAGATGAACTCAATCTGATTTAGTGCCTGATAAATAATAGTCTTTTAAAAAAGAACACACTTGGACACAGACAATAATGTTAATAAAGGCCGGGGTGGGATGGGGTTGGAGCAGGGTGGAGAGACATGAGAGATATCTGTAATGTCAACAATTAAACAAACAAACAAATAAATAAATAAAACACAGTCTCCTGGCATTCAAATGTAGCCAATCTCTCAAAATACACCAACAACTGCCAGTCACCACATAAAGTAACTTTTTCTCATTTCTCACCCCTTAGTATTGATTATACTTCTCAGAACTTGTAATATGATCCTATTACCCTTCCTGCCTGTCTGGTTGCTCTTCTCTCTTCCTACTCTTAATATAACTGTTCACTAAGATTTCTGTCCTCTCCTCATACTCCCTCCCATGGTTTTTGCATTAAGGAAATAATGAAGAATATTAGCCATTTATTTTGTAGAAAGTTCTTGAATTTTAGTTTGATATTTTCTCATCGTTAGAATATATTTTTGTCAATTATACCACCAAAGTGATACTATTAACTTCTGTTGCTTTGTTAAGGTAGTATCTTGCAGGTTTCTCAGGTGTGAAGTTACTGTCTTCCCTTTTTAATTAAGAATTACATTTTAGGGAGACGCTTTGAGACTTGTTTCTCATGCTTTTGTCCACTAATTTTAAGATCCATCAGTGATTTCTTACTGCAATAATTACTGCTATGGTTTGCCTAATGGTGATTTTCTATTTCTCTCATTCCTTCAATATTTTTAATTGGAATTATATTATAAGGAAGAGCTGTTACTTCTCCCCAATGTAATTATTCAATTATTTCTAGCACAGTGGATTTCTAGATACTGATTTTATACTATGAATTATAACCGTTGCTACTATGATTTATTTCGTTGCTCAAATTGGCCCATATTTAACCATTGGAAGCTCTTTTAATATGAGTACTGTGTCCTTTCAAATCCCTAACCCATTCTTTCATAAGACCCTCTCAATTTTGCAGTTTAAACTTCCCCTTTATGTACCCTTCCCTTACAAAAACTAGAATTAATCCTTTCCTATTAGTGAATTAATTTAGACCTAAGTTCATTTGAGTGCTGTAACAAAATACCATAGAGTGAGTGGCTCATAAACAACATTTATTTCTCACGGTTCTGGAGGCTAAGCCCCAAGATAGTGGTGCCAACAGATTCTATGTCCAGTGAGAGCTTCCTGGTTCACAGACAGAGCCTTCTTGCTGTGTCCTCGCATGGTGGAAGGGGACAGCAAGCTCTCTGGGGTCCCTTTATAAGGACATTAATCCCATTCATGAGAGCTCTGCCCTCAAGACCTAATCATTCCCCAAAGGCCTGTTTTCTAATGCCATCGGGTTAAATTCCAACATATCATTTTGGGGGATACAAACATTCAGACCATAACACCTTTCCGACTAAATTCATTTCAGGTTCTAGCTAAGAATTTTCTGAAATTTTATTGCACATTTACTCTTTTTATGGCATTTATTATAAACTCCATTGCTGGACAGGCGTTTGCCATATTGGTCACATCTCCCCTACCTTGTTTGAAAATCTTTGAGCACAGAATTTTACTATCTTATTCACCTTTTTATTCACCTTGCACATAGTAGGCATTCAGTAAACATTTGTTAAACAAATGGCTGAGTGGACCTAAAGCTGGGGAAAATAAGATAGAGAACTTGTTTCAAATGTTCTGTCACTGAAAGATAACCTGCCTGCCTGTCAGAAAAGGCTCTGGTAGATTGGTCTTCATCAGGCCCTTCTTTCAGCCTAAACCCGTGGTCGGCAAACTGCGGCTTGAAAGCCACATGAGGCTCTTTGGCCCCTTGAGTGTGGCTCTTCCACAAAATACCATGGCCTGGGCGAGTCTATTTTGAAGAAGTAGCATTAGAAGAAGTTTAAGTTTAAAAAATTTAGCTCTCAAAAGAAATTTCAATTGTTGTACTGTTGATACTTGGCTCTGTTGACTAATGAGTTTGCCGATCATTGGCCTAAACCAAGACTGCATTGTAAAAACTGCTTCTGGAATTGAGTCTAGCATTAAGGTCCAAGTACCTCTAGCTATTTTGGTCAAATCTTTGAAATTCTGCCCTCACCCCAGAAGAAAGCCAAAGCTTGGTGGTCAAATGTGTGATTCATGATATAAGGTATTTTACTTCCTTGAAAGAAGAGAGAAAGAGCCGAAACCGGTTTGGCTCAATGGATAGAGCGTTGGCTTGGGGACTGAAAGGTCCCGGGTTCGATTCCGGTCAAGGGCATGTACCTTGGTTGCAGGCATATCCCCGGTGGGGAGTGTGCAAGAGGCAGCTGATCGACGACTCTCTCATCGATGTTTCTAACTCTGTATCTCTCTCCCTTCCTCTCTGTACAAAATCAATAAAATATATTTAAAAAAAAAAAAAAGAAAGAAAAGAAAGAAGAGAGAAGGGGGGGAGTGAGGGAGGGAGAGAGAGAGATTGAGAGATTTAAAATGTTTTCGTTTTTTTCCCTTTCATTATACCAAGAGAGCTACAAGTCTTTCAAATCTTGGTTGGAAAAGAATTAGTTAAGGACAAAGGAGAAAGGAGAATATACCTTAGGAAAACAAAGCTGGAACTGGAGGGGTTTTTTTATTTATTTTGGGGGGTTTTTTGTTTGTTTCTTTTGATGTGAAAACAAAAGCCTGATCCTGTAACCGCTCCCCCTCCCCAAGGGACTTCTACCAGAGTTGTAGCTCCGTAGTGATTTAGGCTGAGTAGGAGAGTATCCTCTAAATTTTCTCAGGTTGATTGAGGTCATGGGAAAGACTGACTCTTACTAGTCTAGGCCAGTGGTCGGCAAACTCATTAGTCAACAGAACCAAATATCAACAGTACAACGATTGAAATTTCTTTTGAGAGCCAAATTTTTTAAACTTAAATTTCTTCTAATCTCACTTCTTCAAAATAGACTCGCCCAGGCTGTGGTATTTTGTGGAAGAGCCACATCCAAGGGGCCAAAGAGCGGCATGTGGCTCTCTAGCTGCAGTTTGCTGACCATAGGTCTAGGCTGTGCAGTGGGATGATGTGACTAGAGTGGGGGTACAGCCCCAGTCTTCATTCTCACAGATTTCTTTGTTCCCTTCTCTTAGGTGGATCACTTGGATAAGAATGGACAGTGTGCTTTGGTCCATGCTGCACTCCGAGGTCATCTGGAGGTTGTCAAGTTTCTGATTCAGTGTGACTGGACAATGGCCAGCCAACAGCAAGGGGTGTTTAAGAAGAGCCAGGCCATCCAGCAGGCCCTCATTGCTGCAGCCAGTATGGGTTACACTGAGGTAAGAAAGGAGTCAATAAGGTTTGTTGGGGTGTGTTGTTTTTTTTTCAATCTGTATATTGAAAGACTAAATGTCCAGGAGAAAAGGGTTGCATTATTGCAAAATTTCCACTCTAATTAATATGAATTAGCTTTTTGATCACTACTTTGAGGAACAGGAAGCATAGACTCCATGAAGCAGTTAAATTCTAACCAAGGTACCTAGAATTATAGGCACAGAATGTGAGAATTGGAAAGGACCTTGGAATTTATCTAATCCAGCTCCTTCCCATCCTTTCACCCCTATTTAACAGACACTGACACTAGGCTCAGAGGGATTATTTATTGAGCTGTGTCCCCGTGGATAGGCAGTGTGACATGGGAATAGCACAACATTTAGAATCTCAGAAGGACTAGATTTGAGTCTCAGCTTTGCTACTCATTAGCTCTGGACCTTGGGCAATTTACCCAATCTCTTGGAACCTTAGTTTTCCATTAGTAGAGTGAGTCTAATAAATTATTTTTACAAGGCTGTTATGAAAGGTACTTTGTAAACTGTTAAATACTATACAAACGATATTTTTGCTAACTTATTTAATTATGATATAATAATATAGTGGCAAAATATATGGAATTGGTAGTATACTAAGAAATGTTAACAATCAGCTATGGGAAGAAGAGTGAGTGGAACGGAAGAGAGGGAGGGGAAGAAGGGGAAAGAGAAAGAGAGACAGAGACAAGAGCATACATACAGTCATGCGCCACCTAACATGTGCCACCTAATGACATTTTGGTCAACGACAAACCACATATATGAGTGTAGTCTCATAAGATCATAACGGAGCTAAAAATTTTTATCACCTTGTGATGTCATAGCCATTGTAATGTTGTAGTGTGATGTATTACTCGTGTGTGTGGTATGCTAGTGGAAACAAACTTCTATCACTTGTATAAAAGTAAAACAGATACAGTTATGTACAGTACATAATACTAATGATAATAAGTGTTATTGGTTTAAGTGTTTTGCATAATATATTTTATCATTATTTTAGAGTGTACTCTTTCTACTTGTAAAAAAAAAAGTTTGGTGTAAAACATTATACATATTACTCCATCAGCAGCCTCACTCATCTTGTGTTTATCACCTCACCACTTTTTTTATTCAACCAGGGTATCAAATACATCATTTTCAATTGTGCTTGATTTAATCTCATATTGTTTTGTTCATTATGGCCCCTAAATTCACTGCTAATGTTGCCAAGTAGAGGGCACATCAAGTGATTGACTTGGAAACAAAATTAAGAGTGCTCACCAGTCAGGCATGCCCCATTCCAGTATAGCTTCCATCTTTAAGAATAAGAACTACACGTCAGAAGTTGTTAAAGGGTCTGCTTCATTGAGGGCAACCAGACTAAAAATTTGAAAAGGGTCTTTTATCAGATATGGAGAAATTTCTAATGACCTAAAATGTAGCTCAGACACATAAGCGTATCCCTCTCAGCACTGTGATGATCATGGCCAAAGCAAAATGCTTGTTTGCAATGTTGAAAGAAAAGTCTGGACCCAACTACAATGTTGAATTTACTGCAAGCTCTGGGTAGCTTAAATGATTCAAGAATCATTATTCATAATGCAGAAGTGAGTGGTGAGTCTGTGGGTGCTGATGTGAAGGCATCTGAAGAATCTTTGGAAACTCTAGATAAGCTGATCGTGGAGGAAAATTACTTGCCAGAATTTCAATATGGACAAAACCTCCCTATTCTGAAAGGGATGCCTGAAAGGACTTTCATACATAAGGAGACCAAGTCACTGCCAGGATTCAAGGCTCTTAAGGACAGGATGACAGTCTTGCCTGGGGGCAATGCTTCAGGCTACAAATTGAAAGAAACTCTTTGTGATCTGGCACAGTAAGATACCACTTCAAGCATATCAATATGCAGACATTGGCAATGTACTACAGGAGCAGATAAAGTCATGAATGACCCAATTCCTCTTCCAAGATGCCCCCTGAATTACTATGCCAGCAAAATGGAAAAGTGCTATTCAGAGCATCACATGCTTTCAAGATTTTGTTTATTGTAGATAATGATGCCGGACATCTTCCTTTTATTGGTGATCTTCATCCCAATATCAAAGTGATGTTTTTCCTCCAAACATCACCACTTTGATCCAACCAGTGGATCAAGGAGTTATACCAGCTTTTGAGGCCTACTACCTAAGGAGAACCTTTGCCCAGGCTGTTGCTGCAAGTGTCGAAGACACTGGGGCATTTCCGGAAGGATTACAGTGTCTGTGGCTGCATTAAGACCTTTGCTTTGGCTGGGGGTGATGTAACCAAGGAGTATAGAAATGGCATTGGAAGAAGACACTCAAGAGGTTTGTCCCTGATTTCAAAGGATTTGCCAAGGATGTGTAGGTTGCAAAAATCAACAAGGCTGTAGCTGAGATGGCAAACACTTTAGCCTGGATGTGGGTGATGATGAAACCGAGGCGCTCCTAAGGGTAGTTCCGAAGGAACTGACTAATGGGGAGTTGTTGGAACTAGAACAGGAATACATAACTGAAGAAGAGGCAAGAGAAAAGGAATTGCAGAAGAAAGAGAAGAATAATCCCTAAGAAAAGTAGAAGCTTTTGAAGACCTCAATAAGTTCCTTTAAAAGTTTGAAAATATGGACCCTAACACCAAAAAATTTTTCATTAATAGTGCAGTATCTGCTGATAGACAAATTTATGATAGAAAATAAAAATTTTTTAAAGACCACCACGGACTTATTTCTGAAAAGAATGACAAGTCCTTAAGAAGAGCCTCAGGCAGGTCTTTCAGGGGATGTTCCAGAAAAAGACATTGTTTTCATAGGAGGTGACAGCTCTATACACGTTATTGCTCCTGAATACCTTCCCAAGGTACCTAGAATTATGGGCACAGAATGTGGGAATTGGAAAGGACCTTGGAATTTATCTAATCCAGTTCCTCCCCATCCTTTCACTACTGTTTCACCCCTATTTCACTCCATAGGGCAAGTTGTGGAGGTAGAAGACAATGATAGTGATGATCCTGACCCTGTGTAGGCCTAGGCTAAGGTGTGTGTTTGTGTCTTAGTTTTTAACAAAACAAAAAAAGTTTAAAAATAGAAAATTTTAAATTATAAAAAAATGAGAAAATGTTATAGAATAAGGACATAAAGAAAAATTTTTTTAATTTTTTTCTTTTTTTATTGTTTAAAGTATTACAAATAGTAGTACATATGTCTCCTTTTATATTTTCCCAATTTGTGCAGCTATACAATGTCTTTGTGTTTTAACGTAACTGTTAATACAAGAGTTGAAAGTGTGTTTTTTAATTATAAAGTTAAAAAGTTATTGAAAAAAAAATTTAATTTGGTGTAGCCTAAGTATATAGTGTTTATAAAGTCTACAGTAATGAGGCCCTAGGCCTTCACATTCTCTCACCATTCACTCACTGACTCACCCAGAGCAACTTTGAGTCCTGAAAGCGCCATCATGGTAAGTGCCCTATACAGATGCAACATTTTTTTATCTTTCATTTTGTATTTTTACTGTACCTTTCCCGTAGTTAGATATTCAGATACGTAATATTGTGTTACAGTTGCCTGCAGTATTCAGTATAATAATGTGCTGTGCAGGTGTGTAGCCTAGGAACAGTAGGCTATACCATATAGTCTAGGTGTGTAATAGGCTAAAGCATCTAGGTTTTTGTTAAGTGTACTCTAGGATGTTCAGGCAAAGACAAGATCGCCTAATAACACATTTCTGAGAACATGTCCCCATCATTAACTAAAGCATGACTATACTTAAATTTATTATAAATTTCACTGATACAAAGAACATGTAGTATACAGTTTACAAGTGATAATGAGCACAATACTCTTAATTGAATACTAATAATGTTTGCTAAATTTGTGTCATTGCCAACCTAGCAAATTGGCTATCATGCAAATCCACCACAATTTTATAAATGGAATTTGTACCCCAATTTACCCAATAATTTTATTGTCATTAAATCTGATATGTGGCCTATTATTAAACTACTTTTTGCCCTCATCCAAATTACGTTCTTAAAACTGGAAGTTCTTTCAACTTTAGCACTAAATCAAATCCTGATTTATAATGTTTGCCAGTTTCAGGGTGTAGATACTCCTTCCATGGCCGATTTCAAGCTACCAATGTGACATCACTGAACACAAAGGTGTACACAGTAGCACACCATTCTGTAATATTTTCATCATACAGACACAGTAGATATAAATCATCTCAAGAACATAGATAATTGTAAAACAATTAAATCAGGAAATTACAAGATTTTATTTTTTAACTTTTGTTTTAAATATAATTTAATTGTGATTTAACTTTTAACAAACATCTTTATTTAATACCGGGCTTGCAAAAAGTCCTAAAATTTAAAGTTCAGCTTTCATGGGCCAGTACTAGTCAGCTCACCACTGCATGAGTTGCTTCAGTGATACAGCTACCCTATCAACTGACCTAACCTAATATTCCTAGGGAATATTAAGTAAAACTGGAATTTTATTATCTCTGCGAGGCTTTTTAAAACTCTCTACAGCCAAATTTCTGGAAACAGAGCTGTCACTTTTCTTTCTAATTTGCAGCCATTCCCCCATGTCCCCAAAACAGTCCTTATACTTAAAGGAGATAATTGCTCTGCTCTGAAGACCTACAAGCCCTAAGGTTGTCCATATTTATTTTATGTTTTGTTTAATGATTGGTTTTTCTGTGTTTTTTTTTTTTTTTTTGGTATTTTTATTGGGAGGATGAAGGATTGCTTCTTTAAGTTAAATATAAGAAATATGTAATTTTTAAAAATCACATGCTATGTAAGTGAATTGTGTTCAGAGAAGCATGTAAACTGTGCCTGTTAGGAACAAATGCTTATCATGGCAGCTTCGGGTTGTTTGCTAGGCCAGGCACTTCTGTTCCTTTTGTGTGCAAGAGATTTCATAACACTTGTGTCATCCAAGTAGCTTTCCAACCTCACAGGCTAGTGTCAGTAGCATAGTTTTCCACCTGAAGTTGAGCTGACACAACTTCTTGTTTCAGATTGTCTCCTACCTACTTGATCTTCCAGAAAAAGATGAAGAGGAAGTGGAGCGAGCACAGATCAACAGCTTTGACAGTCTCTGGGGAGAGACAGGTACATGTCATGGACATCACTCTCTTCTCTCATGTATGTGTTGTTTGTGTGCAGAGGTGTTCTCTGCATCGCCCACCCTCATTTTTTCTCTGGCATACCTTAGGCATCTCTCTGGTGGCTTTTGTATTGGAGACCAATTCAGCCGAAGTAAAAAGTCAAGCAATTTCCCTCTTTCAATCCCCCATACTATTAGCACCAGAGTCTTCTTTCAAACAAAACTTTCCCCTGCTCTTGTTTCCAAATATTTTTAAAAGACTGAAAGTTTCCTTACAATGTGCCAAACCAGAGCAGAAAATAGTTGTGGCCTTTCTCTTTTTTGATGTTATCCTTGTAACCGTTAGGAATAAATTTTCTCCCATCAAAATAACTCTCTTCACCTGTAGTTATAAACCAGGAGATTACATTTTTATCTACGACTCTGGCTTCACCAAGTGCTATGGCAGAGTGGTACCTGACACAGTATGAGTCAAGTTGGTCTTGGCGACATGAAGGTGCCACTCTGTAAAGCGCAGCCACATGCCACCTCTGTCTATAGCAAAGTGATTTCTGTATTGCTCGGTATTTACTACATAAACAGAAGCCTCTTCCTTGTGACCTTTGTAGGAAATGATTATTGTCTTTCCTCCCAAGTCTAAACTGTAACATCTGGAGAAACATTAGTACCCTCCTATGTGTTTTTATGGAACCAGGGCAATGAAAACTGTAGAATCACCACAGATATGTGTCATTTTTGCCAGGAGGAGACCAATATTGAGATTGCCAAGTTAGGGAGAATATTTACCAAACAACAAGGCTATGTGTTTTGCTTAGAGTCAGAATATTATTAAAAATAAGAAAAGATACTTGAATTCATTTAAAATTCACAATCACCTACTGAATTGCAGTGTTTCCATCCATGGCAAAAATCTTACATAGGTTTCATGGCTTCTTTAACATTATGTAGAATGGTCCAAAGCCGAGGAATTTGCTTCTCAAACAATCCCTCCCTCTGTAAGAGCCAAAGGTAGCAGATGCCAGGCAGCTGCAGCTTAAGAGCCTATGACTGATTAAAGGGAAATGTGCAGCTGGAAACGGCTGTTGTCTCTGGGGCCCCACCCTGAGGGAAGCCAGAGGACAGACTGGGGGAGGAGACTGGCCAGGACATCAGTCCTGGAGTATGCATGTTGTGAGCGAGAGCTGCAGAAGGGACATACTGGTTTACTGTTCCTGTCAGCAAAGCCTTCCCCAGCACAGCACTGCCATCCCTCGAAGCAGACTTCCGTGGTCAGACCATGCACATATAACCTCAGGGAGAACAAAAAAGTAATGGTCTAATGGTGATAATGGATAAAAATTACAAGACTAACACATTCTAGTTGTGTATTTAAAAGAATTACTAAAAATGTTCAAGAAGGATGTGAACTAAGTGGAAGACATTTTTATCTTATGAATTGCTTATTAAAATAAAAAATTTTGGTCTCAGGACTTTTAAAACATTTCATACTTTAAGTATGCAGTAAAGTTTGTTACATTGTCTTACACATCTATCATATCTCAAGATTGTGAAAACTCAAAGCTTCGTGTCAGTTTGATTATAATCAGAATTGTGTTTAACATGATATTTATATGAAACAGTTTCAGCATTAGAAACATAAAATGCTATTTAAATATGGCATAGGATGAAATTCATTTTGCAGTATAATTTACAGACCTATAAATTTATTTGACCTTAGAAAAATTTGCGGGAAATGATATCTTTGCTATGTAAAAATGTTCTAACAACCCACCAAAAACTGAGTTGCTTTTCTTTCTATAGTGATGGAACTAAGTAAACATGTTCCTTTCTAACTTATAGCACATAATCATTTACAATTTATAATGATCCATTGAATTGTGATGTTTCCTCCAAAGACAAAACCTTATATATGTTTCCCTTATAGAGGGAATGAAGGTCTATGATCTACAGCCAGCTGGTTGACTGCAACCTTGTTCCAAACAACATAATTTTATCCCTGAAAAAAATATGATGGTCATGATGTCTTTAACAGTCTGTACCACTTACTAAATTGAATCTAAGACATCAGTAACTATAAGAAACTATATAATCAATACGTCTTGTGCCAGTACAAAAAACTACAACTCTACCAGTTAAACTGGCACAATTCTTTATTATCAAATCAATCATAAGAGGGATTTCAATTCAGAGGTGTTAAAATGTGAAATAAAAAAGCGAATCTTAGCATCAGTGAACTATTCAGGTACAGTTTTTACATGGCAGATTTTCTAAAAGCAGATCACCAGAATATCCTTGTTGCCTTTGTTCCCATTTTGCAGCCTCTTATCCTTCCAGGTAGCATCTTCCTACATCCAGCTTTCACCCTCTTGCTGACCCCCTCCATCCCACAGGGTTTTCACAGACTTTTTATGGAACAACACAGAAGAAAAGCAACTAGGGTAATAAGATTATTTACCACTTCCTCTTCTCCTTTGTCTTATGAGCAAAATTAGGACCAGCATTAAAAGCTTGTAGCAACTCAAGGGCCTGAGCCATCCCATGGCCCAAAGGAAGCCAGTTCCCAGAGTAAAGAAGATACTTTCATTCATGCCCTCATCATCTCTTGCCTAGATTATTGCAAATACATTCAAACTGATCTTCTTGTCTGTAGCTGCACCCTTTTGTGATTCACCTCCCAGATTTCAGACAAAGCAATCTTTTTGAGCCACAGTCTTCATGTCACTTTCCTGCTTATCCCCTTCAGTGGCCACCTGTCACATTAATTAAGTTATTTATAGCATTAAGAGACCAGTTATGATCTCTAGTCTCATCTATTGCCCATCTCTCCAGTTACTCCATATACAATAAACATGCTATTTCCTACCTCACTGCCTTTATACATTCTCTGTCTGTGCCTAACATGCCTCCTCATTGCCTTTGAATGCCTGTAAGTCTCCTATTCTTTTTCAGCCTCAAGCTCTTCCCTAACTCTTCTTCCCCTGTGACACCTCCATACAACCAACCTCCATGGACTTATTTCTGTTGTATATATCACACTGTATAGTAATTTATTTGTTTGTCTGTGATTCTAACTGAACCATGAGTTCCTTAAGAGCAGAGACAGTGTCTGACAAGTAGCTCAATAAATGTTTAATTAATGTTTTGGATAGCAGTGATCAGTGTTTGTCTCACAACACCCCCTCCCATTGGTCTTACATGGCCTGTCTGCTGCACTCTTTCTAGGTTGAAAAAAAACAACAAAGAACCATTTGCTTCACTGTGTTCTATTTAGTGTCAGCATCCCATCCAAACAGACTGGCTTTTCCCCAACTCTGAGCTATGTCCTGTCTGCCTCTTCATACTCCTTAGTTTTTTCCATCTGGAAAAGGACCATTTATGTCACATAATCTCATCAGATGCTGACAAGCTAGCGAGCAAATTTTGTTACTGATCTCGAAGGAAGAGATTTGGCTCCACACTGTTGTGCTTGCACTGAGAATCAGTTTGTTGTTTTTATAGAACTGGCTTTACCTTAATCTTTTTTATTTCCCAAAAAAAAGTTTTAACAGTTTTTGATAAGGCTTCTATAAAATCCAGCCAAAGAAACTTCTTGCTTTTGGATTTTGAAAAGCACAGATCCCATTTTACATAGTTGTGTTTCTCTGAGATGAAATTGGCCAGCTGTGTTAATGACCATATCCAGCTATCAGCTTTGAGATATGAATTCCTGCCAAATTACATCATAACCTAAGAAGATACAACAAAGAAAAAAGCCAAATGAAACATTCCCTCATATAAATGTGCAATCCAGTGGGTTGAAATGAGCCAACCAGAGCGATATAACTCCAGGTTAGAGTGGACAGTATAAGTTTAGTTTTCAAGATGGGCCCTGGTTATGCATGTCAACTGTATTCTGTGAACTGGCATCATTGCTGAAAGGCTGATTCTGAAATACTGTACATATTTTCTCAAGGGCATTATAAATTCTTTTGTGAAAAATAATGTATTTGTCCCACTTTTCTCATACACAGGATATTAAAAGAGAAGTTTGTTACAACCCTGTCACCTACCTAGTGGCTACTTTAAATGGGATCAGAACATGGGAGTTAGAAATTTTCCAAATTATTTGTTTTATTTGCCAACAAGGTGATTCTATGATTCCTCACAAGTATCTAACTCAGTCAATTTCTTACCCCTCTCCCCAGCTTTACTGAGATATAATTGATATATAACATTGTGTAAGTTTCAGGTATACAATGTTATAATGTCCATTCAAGTTCTTAAACTGCTCTGATGTTCTAACCCAAGAACTAAAGTGTTGTTATTTCTGAACTATTAGAAATATAAACTTGAAAGAAGGAAGATCACTTTGACTTTGATTTGAAGAATAAGAGACAAAATTTTTTTATCAAGTCAATAGTCAGACCCATCAATACCTGTACACATCCATTGGTGGTTTAGAAATGACCCTCACCCCAGGTAGGACCAGGCCACTTACCATTTGTGAGAAACAGGACAGAAATAATGTTAGGACTTTTCAAATAAAACTGAAAGTGCACGCCGGAATCGGTTTGGTTCAGTGGATAGAGCGTCGGCCTGCAGATTTAAGGGTCCCGGGTTCGATTCCGGTCAGGGGCATGTACCTTAGTTGCGGGCACATCCCCAGTAGGGGGTGCGCAAGAGGCATCTGATCAATGATTCTCTCTCATCGATGTTTCTAACTCTCTATCCCTCTCTCTTCCTCTCTGTAAAAAAATCAATAAAATATATGTTTTAAAATAAATAAAATAAAACTGAAAGTGCACATAGGACAAGGCATAGGTGCATCTAGTTTGAGTGAATATATCTTCTAAAATTGCCCTTCTTAAGCCCTTATCATTGAGGAAGGAAAAGATTACTTGAAGGTTTATCTTGGTGGAAATTACAGGTCATCTTGGTTTTTCACATGAGTCAGTTGTGGATAAATTTGGCCAAGCCAAAGACAAAATGCTATAATTTACACTTGAAAAAGATCATAAATGACCATTTGATTTAAATATCCATTGCTTCCCTCATTAAATACCAACTGCATCAAAGATCATAAACAAAGAACAGCAGCAAAAAAAGACGGTTTAAGTTTCTTTCTGCTGTGTCCCTTATACTCACAATAGCTAATTTCTATCTGACTTCATCTTTATATTGACAAGAAAAGAGCCTTTGTCACACCTCTCATCTCACCTTGAACACTTCTAATCCTCATATAAAAATGGTTGCAGATATACTAGAAATGTCTGCCTCAACTAAGGAAAGAAAGGAATAAAAACTGGCCCAAGGCCCATGGACTGCAGTTTCTAACTTTGGTTCTTGGGTTTAAGGGCCCAAGAACAGGTGGCCACAGATTGTCCCCAGCTAATTCTAAAAACAAGACCTTACTTTGCAAAGGCCTTTCTCCCTGCATTCCAGCCACACATAGACCAGCAGAAGGTATGTAGCTAGGAAAGAGGTACCAAAGAGAGTCAAGGTAGGAAAAAATAAAATGAAGTAAGTTTAATCAAAGGTAATTTTTCAGTCAATATGTACTTAAAATTGTTTCTATATATTATAAATAAGCCCATTTTAATGTAGTTTTATTCATTTAAGTTTTCATGACAAAAGTAGCTAAAATCATTTTTCTTGGAGATAAAGTAGCAATTATATTAATCAAACACAGATATATTGCCATGTTTAACACACAGGATTAGAGATTGCAAGAGCCACCTGTTTTCAGTCTGTGTTCTCTGCCCTTAGCCCTGACAGCTGCAGCCGGAAGGGGCAAACTGGAGGTATGTCGTCTGCTCTTGGAACAAGGGGCAGCAGTGGCCCAGCCAAACCGTCGAGGGGCAGTGCCCCTGTTCAGCACTGTTCGCCAGGGCCACTGGCAGGTAAGCAGGGAAGCTGCTTCCAGGACCACAGGCAAGAGTGAATTCTAGGCGGAAGTTCTGATGCATAGAGAGAGATAAAAAAAATAATCACAAAATTTGAGTTACCCAGCAGTCATCACTTTTGAGGTCTTGGGTATTTGTTATTAATATTCCACAGTTGAGAATATGTCAAAAAGTTAACATTCAGAATCATCTAGATTGTATAGAAAGACTGGCTACTTTTGGCCTTGTCTTAGAATTGCCTTTTTCCAGAGAACATTTCACAGTATCCACAAGTTCTTGGAGAGGTTCATATTTCAACAGATCCCTGCTAACCACTTATTTGCAGGTGTCTGAGATTTGCTAAAAGAAAATGTGGTGTATATAAATTTTAGTTATGCAGTCTTTCCAGATGTTTGGTTTCTGGATAAATGCTAATTTGTACACTTAGAATGGAAAAGAAAGCCTATTGGTAACAACCTTTTCAAAGTACTTGAGAAGAAAAAAGGCTGTAGAAGCCAAACAGTGCTAAAGAGTTGAGACTCTCATAGTATTCAGTTCAGTCACAAATATTCACCGCAGATAGCTTTGCAACTTCTAGAGGTCAGTAAAATGGCACCGACACAGGAGGTGACTTGTGTTGGAGCTTAGTTATGGAATTGCTTAGTCATTGATCATCATTATCTTTTTTTTTTTTTTTTTTAAATATTTAATGGCTGAGTTGAGCATTCAGAGTTGAATTCTTCACATTTCGCTGTCCCTACTAGAGTCATAGATCAGATCACATAGTATAAGGACTTTGTGGAACTTGAGGGGGTGCTTGCAGTGGAAAGTTAGGTAGGGGTTCACACAGTGTCTGGGATAGCATGCCTGTGTCTGCTCAGCAGCTCTTCCTGTATAGACCATTGGCTCCTGTTTCTCGATCTTGCAGATAGTTGATCTTTTGCTCACCCATGGAGCTGATGTCAACATGGCAGACAAGCAAGGTCGGACTCCCTTGATGATGGCTGCTTCTGAAGGCCATCTGGGAACTGTGGACTTTCTACTTGCACAAGGTTAGTCCTGGGCTGCCAGAGCTGGATGGTTAATGCCCATAATTTCCAGGGATGGATTCCAAGAAATGTTAAGAAAGATATTATTAATCCTTGTGGCTTGAGGGATCTTTAGTATTCTAACTAAATTAACAGATTCAAACTCTTAAGTTAAAGAGTTTGAACAATCACCAAACTTTGCATTTTAATATATAGTCAATAAATGGTCATCTTCCAGTGATTGTATTTTGACTTTAACTTTATCAATTATTTTGCAGTCTTGCACAATTAATATTTTTCTTATATCCAAAGAAGGCAGCTGGAGTCTAAGACAATTGCTGACAATGGTACCCTATTTGATATTATTACGCTCCTCTTGTAATAAATGCCTTTTGACATTTACCAATATTCACATATTCCTGGTGAATGGGAAATAAGTTAAAGAATACACACCACCATCAAAACATTTCAGATTGCTTTTGATTGCTGTGACCTCAGTTACCTGTGCAGAACAGTTATCTGCAGGGCGTCTGCAGTGGAAAAGCTGGGGTCACTGCTGACTCTGCACTACTATTTAGTGGAACTTGAGCATTTATTTGCATGAAGCAGGAGGTAGTGTGATTGTGACTGGTCTTAATGATTCCATTCTAGTTAGCTTCTCCTGTTAGTAAACTGGACCAAAAACATCAATCCATAAGCACATACACTTCAAGGAAACCAGCTTCCTGAAGAATCACGCCCAGGTTGGAGCAGCTAAGGGTAAATGAGTTAGGACGAAGAGATTTCTTCTAAGATTTTAAACCACAACTTGGTCAAACACTTACTGGATCTTTAGCTGTATCTTCCAAAGAAGATTTGTATCCACAATCTCAGGCTCAAAAGGTGGGGTCAGAATCAGAGAACTGCTCTTCCCAAGTGCAAAGAAGTTCTTGCTTCCTCAGTACAAGCTACCAAACAAGTTTGGTTTCATGATACCTCTTCTCAATTCTGCTTAGAGGGAGTTGGTTGAGGAAGTGGGATGTGCCTAGATTCCCAGGATAAGATGTGGCAGGAGTAAATGTCTCAGGACAACCCAAGGCTCCTGGAAAGGCAGGAGCTCTTCAGCCATTGACCTTGAAGTAACTGCACATTCCAATAGAAGATCATCAGGCACAGATTCCAGCAAGTCTTCTCCCTTAACCACTGCAGAGATTCTGATCTTTGTACTATTTAATTTTTCACACTTAAATCAGAAACTTTTACTAAATCAAAAAATTCTATGAACAGTTGCTTAGCCCATGTTATTTTTAGAACTCAATGCCAGGAACTGTGAGTAATTTTTTAAAATTAATATACTATAATCTGTGCCCTTTCAAAGGGTCCATAATCTTGTAAGGAAGTGATGAAACAGAGAAAAATAACTACCTTAAAAAGCAGAGAATCCTGAGTGCTCTGGTAAAGGTATTTGAGTTAGAATAGGACAGACATTGAAATATGAATAGTAAAAATGTTCTGTGCTTAGGGAAGGGTGTAATGTAATTGAAAGGTTAAAACAGAGGAACAGTGTTCCCTGTCCACTAAGTTGATCTCTAATTTAGTGAATATAATGTGCCAGTTGTGTGAAAAGAATTATCTTAGGTTCCCTTTGAAACTAGCAAGGAAGTAATAGGCTCTTTGCCATCCAGAAGCTTACAATTTAAGCTGAGAACCAAGTGTATATTGAATTTTAGGCTAATTACAAAACGTGTCAATTGAGCTTGATCTTTACAGATGAAAATTGACATTTTGAAGGCAGATGCAGAATATAAAAGGGGCTTAGACAGTGGGCATGAAGTATCGAAGGCTGACTAGTATAATTAAACTTTTAATTTCCTCTATGTCCTGGATCTCTTTCCATGACTCCATTTCCCTCATATTCTGTCAAGGAGTTTATACTATTATATAAATGAAAACTTTCACTGAGTTCAGAAAACATTGAGAATTTAAAAGATTAACTACAGAATAAGGTGACATATTAAGCAAATTCAAGAGGAAGTAACAGTGAACCACAAGAAGCTTGAAGACGGGGATTGGAGATGGTTCCTAGGAAATAGGCTGAAGTGAGGCAACTTGTGGTGGGGCAGGGGGGAGGGGGGAAGAGATATTCTGCACATGGAAGCAACATAACCAAAAGTGAGGGTTCAAGAACATTTATAGGAGATTCTAGAGGCAGTGAATACATCCATTTTGCCAAAGTAGAGGATTCTCACAGGGAACTAGGAAACTAAAGAACAGAGGTTATGCTTGGGATAGATTGTGGAGGACCTGGAATGCCCAGTAAAACAGCTGGGCTTTCTTCTCTTTTACTAACAGTTTGTAGGATCGATTTTTTTTTAACAATTTTTATTGAAAGGTAACTCACAGGCCAGAAACAAAAGCTATGCTTCGGCAGAATGTACACTGTAAGTTCAACACTCCCTTCTGCTATTAATTTTCATGTTTCCTCAGCCCTGCCTTATACTTGCTCTCATAGGTGCCTCCATTGCTCTGATGGACAAAGAAGGGTTGACAGCCCTCAGCTGGGCTTGTTTGAAGGGTCATCTCTCTGTAGTACGTTCACTGGTAGATAATGGAGCTGCCACAGACCATGCTGACAAGAATGGCCGAACCCCATTGGATCTGGCAGCTTTCTATGGTGATGCTGAGGTGGTGAGTGTCTTGAAACAAACTTCACAGTGGTAGGGATAGGGGAGTGTTCCCTGTGCAGTAACTTGATCTCTAATTTAGTGATTATGACGTATCAAATGTGTGAAAAGAATTATCTTAAGTTCTCTTTGAAACTAGCAAGGAAAAAATAGGCTCTTTGCCATTCAAAGCTTATAATTTTAAGCTAGAACCAAGTATATCTTGAATTCTCCATCCATAATGCTCTCTAGCGTTGAGGATTGCATGTGGTGATTTTTTTTTATTAAATTATTATCTGTGTACATATTTTAACATTGCCTCCACCCCTCTCATACATACCCTCCCTCCCCAGAGTTTTGTGTCCATTAGTTGTAAAGTTCTTGGAGCTATACTTTAGAGGACAGAAAAATTCAAAACACCACTAAAGACCAAGCATAAATATATGGCCTAAAATACCATGGCTACTCAGTCTGGTTCAGACCAGCAGTTGAATAAAGGGCAGGCAGCAGCCAGAACCCTAGGTGGAGCTGAATCATTGCATTTATGTTAACTCCTCTATTTGATCCATGTGCTAGGTCCAGTTTCTGGTGGATCACGGGGCCATGATCGAGCATGTGGATTACAGCGGAATGCGCCCGTTGGATAGGGCAGTGGGGTGCCGGAACACTTCAGTCGTTGTCACTCTTCTGAAGAAAGGAGCCAAGATAGGTAGGAGAAAGGAAGAAGGTGCTGGCCATCTGTGCCCAGAGGCCAGACTGGTCCAGTGGTCTGGCTGCCTTGGGTGTTTGGTGTGAGTGTATATAGTTTCCCCTCTGCCCTGGCCCAAATATTGTCCAAGTAAACAGGAAGGCTCTTGGCCCAGAGAAAGCCATCTGAGCCATGGTCTACACTACCCTGAGTAAAATCACATGGTTCTCTGCCATGCCCCTTGTAGCCTTACCCAGGAGGCTGCTCTGAATCTTCAGCACATCTTAGTGCTAGTGCCTCTATATCAGCCCCACCCTGTGAGCATCCTGGATCCCTGCACGGCCGTGAGCCTTTGCTTCCCTTGCTCTGTATGTGCTTCAGATTCTTAAGTCCCTGCTGCTGCTGCCCCATTCGCTCCCCACCCACAGACCTGTAGACAAGGGTTGGCTTATATGCTGGCTTTTTTGCTGCCTGCCTCTCACTGCTGCTTTTTCCTTCTTTTTCACCTTCATCCATTTTTTTTTCCTCTCCTACAACTTTTTGTTTTCTCCTTTCTTTGAAGGTTGTCAGACGTTACCGAGTCGCCCACGAGGTATATTTCACCGCTGTCAGCATCAGGCGTGGTCTGATGGCTTGGTCAGCTTTGCCTTCTCCTCTTTGATTTAGCCTGCATGAGTTCCCCACACCTCTAATCTTTTAATTTACTTCACCTTAAAAGAAGATTTTTTTAAATAACTGTTGTAGAGAATAACTTGAACTTTTCATAACTAACCCTGAAAAGCTTAGTTGGTAAATAATTCAAGCATCTGTAAACTAATCAGTTTAACCTTTTCTTTCTCTTTGGGGGTAAAATAGTCCTCAATAATGTTGGCTTGTCTCATGTCTGTCTGATATTGGGACTGTGCTCCTGGTACACAATAAATCCAGGAGTCCTACTCAAAACTTAAAAATTAAGGGAGCCTTCAGACTCTTGAATGGTTTCCCTCTGCAAAGTGCATATTTAAATATTAATAAAATAAATAGTTGGGGCCTTTGAGTCCCAGATTCTAAAGTAAATTTCTCTTTTTGGATGTTTAAAATCTTATAGTGACATTTAATGTAAACCCTTTCTCCCATTTTTTTTATTTAAAATAACTCCAAACTAAACTATTGCCTGCCCAAATACAGTATGCAGACTTTGCTGCCCTCTTGTGGTACAAACTCAGTTCAGATATTCTTATTTTAAGGTGAATACAGTCCAGTGCAGCTTCTAGGCAGTGGGAGTCATTAAGATACTCCCAGGTCCAAAAGATGAGGAAATTCTTGTGGAGCAAGTTGTTCTCTCAGCAGAAATTCCCCCAGGATGTTTTTTTCACCTAGCTTCCTACCACCCTTACATTGTATGAGTTTTTTACCCATCATGCATCCTGTACACTACAGGTCCAGCCACATGGGCGATGGCCACCTCCAAACCAGACATCATGATCATCCTGTTGAGCAAGCTGATGGAAGAGGGGGACATGTTTTATAAGGTGAGGGGAAGAAGGAACGAAGTTTCCTCAAAACAGCCACTGACTGTTTTCTACGTATGGAACCTACCTAAGTCTTGACAGTTCTCCTCTTTGGTCCTAGAGACAAAGGGAGAATGCCATCCCTCCGTGTCCCGCTCATAAATTGAAAATCCAGGCTTTTCACCTTCTCAATAAGAGAGCAAGATTAGCCTACACATTCCTGTAGCTGATCAACCTAAAGACCTAGTTTAACCACTATTAGGCAGTTACATAGATTCTACATGGAATCTGTTAAGTGGGACCTGAAAATTCATGAGACAAGTCAAAGTAGAATAATGTAGTGCAGATATTTTCAGTCCATGGAAAAGAGTGTTGATCTTGTCTTTCATATTTAATATATATATATATATATATATATATATATATATATATATATATGTATGTGTGTGTATATATATATATATTTAAGAGTCTATAATAATAATTTATCAATATCTCTGAGAAAGGTAAGACAACCAAGACAGCAATTAGAAGATTTGCTTGAAGTCACTCATTGAATGACAAGAACAATAAAAAGAATGGAGTCTTTTTGTGCTCACAACTCAAGCTGACGGCTCCATGTCCTCCTAGCACAAAAACTCATGGCCTATAGGAAGTTCCTTAAGAACATTCCATGTCAGAATTACCGTGTTGTGTTAAGATTAGCTGAATCGTCCTCTCCTGAAGGTAAACAAACACAAATTCAGCCAGCTTTGGGCATTGGGCCTCATTGAGACGTCTCTAGGCCCTGGAGATGACTATATGTACACTCCCACCCCAGAGTAAGGAATACACAGAGTTCTTGGGGACAGAATTGTATTTCCTATTTCCTGGGGAACTTTGAGTGAAACTCATGATAATCTAAGACTCTTAGCCTTCTAAGAAACTTGAGTTCTGACTCAACCATGATTTCACATAACTTCAAGGAAGGGCCTCTTTTGCTGCCATATTTATGGACCTGAGAATGGCATTCCCTCAAGAATCTAAGCCCTGGTTATAACATAACTTCTGATAGTCTAAGACAGGAGTCCTACCTTCTAATGAGAATGGACAGAGCTACTACTGATCCCACCCAGAAACCCACTTTGGAAGACTCCAAACCTCTCCTTAATGAGAGGTGCTACAGAAAAAAATAAGAAATAGAGATTCCTGGTAAAGTTGCAGTTATACAGAAAGATTAGAGTGGACAAAGATGAACTAGAGGAACGGGGGAGCCTCCTGCATCATTCTGGACTCAGCGTGTAGATTTTCAAATACAAATTGTAAGAAAATTTTAAGGCTTCTGTGACCAGGTCCCTAAGTTCATCATAGATTTGCTTTATCTTGGGAAATCTCTCCTACATAGTCAGATAGAATCACAAACTCTAAACTTCACTTTTCTACTATCACCTTACCCATGCCTTTTCCAAAAAAAGGGGGGAAACTGATTGATATTATTTTATGCCATGAGAGTAGGAAACCAGCAACTAGATTGTTTTAGCTCCTGCATCCTTTGTGAGGAAGAGAATGACCTCTTCTAGAGGACTGGCAAGGTGGAACATCAAACAAGGAAAGAGTTTTCCAGATAAGCAGAATTCAGAAAGTAGTCATTTTGGTGTGCTTGAGACTAGGAAATATGTGTTGCCAGGAGATCAGGTCAAGAGAAAGCTCCTCTGAAAGAGTGAGGTCAGAATCCAGTTGAGAAGCTGGTTCCAGGCCTTTTATCACACGGTTTTGATTCTCTGACTTGTATCACGGAGAACCCCTTCAACCAAGCCTTTCTTGACTAAAGGCAAAGCTGGCCCCTTCTGCTCCCATGTTCAGAGCCAAACCTACTCTCTGAAGTGGCATTTGGGAGGGCTAACTCTTCATAATGACTGGAGAGAATAAGGATTGGGGACCAAACTTAGTTGCTCAGCAGACCAACTTTGTGTTTTGCCATCTTGTCCTCCCATTAGAAAGGTAAAGTAAAGGAGGCTGCCCAGCGCTACCAGTACGCTCTGAAGAAATTCCCTAGAGAAGGGTTTGGTGAGGACTTGAAAACCTTCCGGGAACTGAAGGTGTCTCTTCTCCTCAACCTCTCTCGGTGTCGCAGGAAAATGAACGTAAGTCATTCTCATCCCAGCTCCTTCTGCAGTCCTGGAAGTTGACAGTCCAAGTCACTTACTAGCCTTTACCAGGCCCCTGATTCTTCTCTGGCCCATTTGGAACTTGGTTGTCCTTCACAGAGCACTGACATTTGCAATTTCAAAGAAATCAACTCTTAAGTACAATCCATATCAAACTATAAAAAAGTTAATGCTGTGGGCACTTTATAGGTTTCTGAGTTTTCATAATTCCAACTGAAAGTGATTTAAAAAACTGTCATCATCCTCCCCACCTCAAAGTCGATTTTCTGGTCGTTGGGAAAATGTGAGAGCAATTGTCACTAAAATTTCAGCTGCAATTAGTTATGAATTTTAATCATTACCTCCCTTTGTAGAGGGCTCCCGAGTAACATATGGATGGGCTGGAAAGAGGACTCAGGACCATGAACTTCAAGATTTAATTTCTAAGACTAATCTTGAGCTTTTCACTTCTACTCATCTTTTTATTCTAGCATGCCATGTCCCTTCTTTTTGCAGATAGAATCTTAGCACTCTTCCTGGTCCCTAATTATCTCCCAAATAATCCTTGGTCCTTCTTGCCTGCCTTGTAAATAGTCTCTGATGCCCTCAGCAACCTTGTCATGCAGACACTCCAAGGCCAAGAACCCTCTCTCAGATCCTGGGAATAGCTAAGATCATGTCAGGAATATCTGTCATCCACCAGCCTGAGGTTTCATAGTTCATCAAGAGATAGAAATAATCTAAGCCAAACAGGAGTGTTGATCAATAAAGAACTCAGCTCTACAATAGTGAGATTTCAGCTCAGTGGTAATGGCTCTGCTATCAATATCAGAGAGATTATTTGCCTATATGATCTTTATATCATCCATCTAAAACCTGACAATGAAAAGAGCCCTGATACGATCTTGGTGTCTCAGAGGACATAGTCAGGACCCTAAGAGGCAGAGCTTCCCTGGGTGCTGAGGAGAGTGGGGCCACTAGGAAGAGGTGAGTGTCTTAGGGGGAGGCAGTGAGGTTCTTAGTTAAAACAGAAGAATCTTCACCTCCTGGGATACCAGCTAGTGAGAGTGAGACAGAGTACAGGAGCTGCTGCCACCCTGCTGGCTTCTCTTTGCCTAACAAATAGTATACTTCGAAAAAATAATCTTCCCAGACATAACAATAGTCTTAAAAGAAAAAAGTAAAGGGTAAGGTTGGAAACAGTAGGTATAGAAGACAACCTTGCTAAGATGGAATACTTTCTCTCTAGCTCCACATTTGTTCAGAAATAATCACCTCCCATGAGCAGTACTCTGCTTAGCACCTGAAGTCTGTCTTTGGTAGAAAATTGCCCTTTTTTTTTTTTTTTTTTAAACCTGTGCCCCTTAGGAAGGGCCTTTGTTCTTCCTAAGGCCTTGTTTTCTGCATTAGAATCACAGTGAAACCAGAGGCTACTGTGCTGTGCTTTGACATTAAAAGAGGAAGAAAAAACTTCTCTTTTTTGTGAGGGTTAAAAACTATGGCTTTGTGCCTCCAGGGAGCCTCCATGATCAAGAGATGAAGTGATAGCACAGACCCTAGTCATAGACAGGGTCCTCTTTTGGTTTTTTTACTTTAAATGTTCCTAAATAAGGAACCAGTTAAGAGAAGAAACAGACCAAAGAAGTTCTCTGAAATAAAAAGAAAACTATAATTTACTGAGCATCTACTTTGTGCCAAGAACTGTTTACAGAGCATTCATATACTGTATTGCTCTTGATCCTACCTGTGAAGTAGGTATGCATAAGAAAACATACAACACACTCTGAAAGGTCACAAAGCAGACGAGAGAATTGAACACATGGACTGTCCTTACTCTGCCTAGCCAGCACAGACCTCATCCTCTTGGATTTCACTCATCCCTTTGAAAACCAATGAATAGTGGGTGTGGCAGGGATGTGGGAAGTAGAGTGAATTTCCATGTGAGGTGTAGATGTGTGTGTCATGGGAAGTGATTATTTCTGTGTGTTGGCCTCATTCATGCGTGTGTATTAAGTTTAGGTTTCCAACTTGAGGTACTTCACTGGGTTGACATTGGGCTTCTGGCCTAGAAAGAACTTTGTGAGAAAGGCAGAAAAAAGGAAAATTAAAAGTATTTTTATACTTATGGCAGATAAATTCTTATGAGTGGTTGCAGGGCCACACAGGACAAAGGCAGAAGGAACGTTCAAGCTGTGGCCACATGGCTAAAGCCATACCAGGCATGTGAGGTCCCAGGTATTCCATCCATAAGTGTCAAAGAAATGTACATATGATCTGTGTTATTCCCAAGTTGTCTATTTTTCATATCTCTTCAATGACTTATTTGCACACCTATTGTAATGACAGGATTTTGGAATGGCGGAGGAATTTGCTACTAAGGCCCTGGAGCTGAAACCGAAATCTTATGAAGCTTACTATGCAAGAGCAAGGGCAAAACGCAGCAGCAGGTGAGGAGAGAGAGAGAGAGGGTAAAAAGCAAGAGGTCTCTTCTCTGAAAATCTGGCCAAGGCAATGTAGGCCATCCTGGGGCATATGTACCCAATGTGTCTATCCCTGAGGACTTATAGGGCGCACTTTGGGAATGGCTCCCATAGCAATACTCAGCTTAAGGTTGGCACGTCTCGGGGCTGTGGAAAGCTAGAGTCTTTTGCTTTGGGTGAAAAATGTCTTTTCCATGTTGGAGAGTGGCACCTTCCAAGAAGCCTCTGCCATCTCTCAATCGTGTTAACCCCCAAGCAGGAGCATAACGAGACACTGGTGACTTAGGAAGAGGTCACTTAGCAACATCCCCTCGACCCTTTCAGAGGGAAAAGTGGGAATGGTCACTTACATCACAGGCTCCTCTTTCTTTTCCTGTAGGCATTTGGGGAGTCCCTGGATTGTTTAGTCTCCCTTGTGGGTCTCCCCTCAAGTCTGGTGGCATCAAACCTCTTTCTTACCTAAAGCCCTACCACAAACTCGTGGAGAAGGAGGCCCTGCTGCCAGGATTGAGGGGACCCACAATGGACTCCATCCCTCATGCCCATCTGCTGTGGTTTGGCCAGTGGGCAGGAAAGGTGTCAGAAAGACCTAGAACCTGCCATTAGTGATCTTAGGATAACTTGTCCCTGTCCTTGATGCCTCCTGCCAGCATCCCACCTTCTCCCAAACTGCGTGGGAAAGAACTGCTTCAGGCTCACTGATATAACCAGGGCCGGGATATGGTCCTGGAAATCAAACCCAGGGTAAGTCCAGTGACAACAGTGGCAGTAATACTAATCTTAACTAGCTGGGGTAGCAAAGCTCTTTAGAAGCTTGACTGTCAAGTTCTCTTTCCCACCAAATAATTCCTTCCCCACAAATTCAATTGCTTCTTTTCTGGGCAATATTAATAGAGAATGGGAATATCTTTGATAGTTCACATCCTAATTTTAAATTAGAATCTGAGCTGTTTAGTCAGCAAAACTAATATCTTCCCAGCTTTGATGTAGGAGAATGGAGGAGCAAGTGCTATGGGATGAGGGGCAGGAAGGGCAGAAGACAGGGTTCTTGCCTAGGATGGAACAGGCCTGAAACTTGGAGCCAAAATATCAAAAATATAATAATAAAAAAATTCTGCTGTATCAACAAGATTTTTAAATATTGTAGTTATCATTTTGTTCCTAAGCTAATTGACAGTGACCCTGTAAATGACAACCCCACCCAACCCTCATACTGCCTGGTGTGCATTTGGGCACTAACAGAATCTTCCCGAAGGGCCTGACTGGACTGAAAAAATGAGGACATTTCTTCACTGATCCCAGAGAGGCCAGAAGGAAGATGGAGGCAGAACGGGTTAGAGAATCATTCTAGACTCCTCTAGAATGACAGCCTACCTGTTTCCTTCCTTACAAATCAAATAAAACCAAAAACCCCCGACTCTGACAGATGCTCCCACAGTTCTCTGAAATAGTGACCATGTTCTCAGCTCTGGGTGATTCCTGTTGATTCAGAATAACTCCAGTTCCTGTATTTACATTTTGTCAAGCAGACAGTTTGCAGCAGCCTTAGAGGACCTGAACGAGGCCATCAAGCTGTGTCCAAACAACCGTGAGATCCAGAGACTTCTGATGAGAGTGGAGGAGGAGTGTAGGCAGATGCAGCAGCAGCAGCAGCAGCCGCCACCGCCACCACAGCCGCCTCAGCAGCAGCTACCAGAAGAAGCAGAGCCGGAACCTCAGCATGAAGACATGTACTCTGTGCAAGACATATTCGAGGAGGAGTACCTGGAGCAGGATGTTGAAAATGTTTCCATTGGCCTCCAGACGGAGGCACGGCCCAGTCAGGGGCTCCCGATCATCCAGAGCCCACCCTCCTCTCCAGCCCACAGGGACTCTGCCTACATCTCCAGCTCACCTCTTGGCTCTCATCAGGTTTTTGACTTCCGGTCCAGTAGTTCTGTAGGTTCTCCCACTAGACAGAGCTATCAGTCCACCTCACCTGCCCTTTCTCCAACTCACCAGAACTCTCATTACAGGCCTAGTCCACCACATACTTCCCCGGCTCATCAGGGTGGATCTTACCGCTTTAGCCCCCCTCCTGTGGGAGGGCAGGGCAAAGAATACCCAAGCCCTCCCCCTTCCCCTCTCCGTAGAGGCCCTCAGTATCGGGCCAGCCCTCCAGCTGAAAGCATGAGTGTCTATAGAGCCCAGTCTGGCTCACCTGTGCGCTATCAGCAAGAAACAAATGTCAGTCAGCTTCCTGGCAGGCCAAAATCTCCATTATCCAAAATGGCCCAGAGGCCCTACCAGATGCCTCAGCTTCCTGTGGCGGTGCCCCAGCAAGGGCTCAGGCTACAGCCTGCTAAAGCCCAGATTGTGAGAAGCAACCAGCCCAGCTCTGCTGTTCACTCAAGCACTGTCATCTCCACAGGGGCCTATGGTCAAGTAGCCCACTCGATGGCTAGTAAGTACCAGTCTTCCCAAGGGGACATAGGAGTAAGTCAGAGCCGGTTGGTTTATCAAGGGTCAATTGGGGGGATTGTTGGGGATGGGAGACCTGTGCAGCATGTCCAGGCCAGTCTGAGTGCAGGCGCCATCTGTCAGCACGGAGGGTTGACCAAAGAAGACCTTCCACAGCGACCTTCCTCAGCATACCGAGGTGGCATGAGATACAGCCAGACACCACAGATTGGACGTAGTCAGTCTGCATCCTATTACCCAGTCTGTCACTCAAAACTAGATCTGGAGCGTTCCTCTAGCCAACTAGGTTCCCCTGATGTGTCGCATCTAATCAGAAGACCTATTGGTGTCAACCCCAACGAAATCAAACCCCACCCACCAACTCCCAGGCCATTGCTGCACTCCCAAAGCGTAGGCCTTCGCTTCTCTCCATCTAGCAATAGTATCTCATCTGCCTCCAACCTAACTCCTACCTTCCGGCCGTCCTCCTCGATTCAACAGATGGAGATCCCACTAAAACCTGCATATGATAGGTCATGTGACGAGCTATCGCCAGTGTCTCCCACTCAGGGAGGTTACCCCAGTGAGCCCACCCGATCCAGGACCACACCATTCATGGGGATCATAGATAAAACAGCGCGGACTCAACAGTACCCCCACCTTCACCAGCAGAATCGGACCTGGGCAGTGTCATCGGTGGATACCGTTCTCAGCCCCACGTCTCCAGGCAACTTGCCTCAGCAGGAGTCCTTCAGCCCACCATCATCCATCAGCAACATTGCCTTTTATAACAAAACCAACAATGCACAGAATGGCCATTTGCTGGAGGACGATTATTACAGCCCCCATGGGATGCTGGCGAACGGGTCCCGTGGAGACCTCTTAGAGAGAGTCAGCCAGGCCTCCTCGTACCCCGATGTGAAGGTGGCTCGGACCCTCCCTGTGGCTCAGGCATACCAGGACAACCTGTACAGGCAGTTGTCCCGGGACTCTCGACAAGGGCAGACATCCCCTATCAAACCAAAGAGACCATTTGTGGAGTCTAATGTTTAAAAGACATTTGTTGGAGTGAGACCCATATGTTTTCACTGCGCATATTTAGGCTTGGTTTCCACATTCGAGGTAGTTCTCTAGCTTAATTTCTCATGTAGTTTCTGTGTGGTGTTCAGAGGTGGCAGCCCACATGCCGAAATCCTTTGCATGCAGCCGACTGGGAAGCTGGCCTCCAGTAAGCCAGGACTTCAGTTTCTCTTGCTGTGCCCAGCCACCTGCTCTCTCCCTCTCTTCGGATACCAACGAGGAGATTGTTGTGCCGTGTGCTTTAACCAGGGAGATCAGACACACTGGTCAGCTTTTTCCAGGAGACAATCGCTTTCACTGATGTTCTTGTTGTGTAAATGTCTTTCTCTTTTTTTACGAAACTAAGATGTTCTTGTTCGTTTTCTTCTAGGAACTTTAGAAAGTGTGTGATGCTCCCTTTGCCTTTGCATTCTGACCCAGTGTTTTCCAGATAACCAGCCCCAATGCATTCTGGTGCCCTGGTCTCCCCTACCGCCAGCTCCCTGCAGTCTTCAGGTCTTGAATGTTCCTTTAGGTTGTTGCTGGTCTTCCTGGGGGGGTGAAAGGATCAAAGAGAAAGAGATGTCTGTTAAATTGGAAGAAAAACACCAATGTAATTATTTGAAATACCACTCCATTTATTCCCCAAGAAAGCATTTTAACAACATTTTTAAAAACAACCAGCTTTTTAAATATTTTGGTCAGCCAAGAAAATTGGATAAAAATCAAGGATAATTTTTTAAAATTTTACTGAAATCATTCTTTGGATGTTTAGCCAACAATTACCATTAAAAACTACTGATTTTTCATAGGTGAGGGAGGGAATAAATAAATACATAGGAAGACAGAGAGAGAGAGAGAAGGAAAGACTGTCTGGGTTCTCGTTGAAAGGCTGTAGAAAAACTTTGGAGAAATCCCCCTTTAGATCCTGAAGTGTCACAGAGCATCAGATTCCACAAAAAGTAAACAGAGGATTGGCTGTGCAGTAATCCTGTTAGGTGGATCTTTGCCTGGAGCTAGCTGTTCTGCTGGCCCTCTTTTTTTTTTTTTAACCAGATGGTATTTAGTGAAGAAATTGGTTCTTTGAGAAACAAATTGAGTTTTCGTGGGACTAAAAGATGTATTCCCAGAATTTACACCCAGGGCCATTGCAGTTTGTGCCAGACGTTGTCTCATTCCATTTTGAGATCTATAGTTTCATTATCTCTTGGTTGTTTTTTTAGGTAGGAGTGTTCGGGGAGTGATATTTTGAAAACCAGGCACCACACAGTGTCTCCTTTCAGGGTGAAGAAGGCCCCCTTCCAGCCCGTGTGGGGGCACATCAGACACCAGATCTTCTGATCCAGGCCCCCTCCACACGTCTGTGTCTAGTGTTCTCCGCTAAGCTGTCCCCTGAGGGACTGGGCCAGCATGAGATGAGCGGCAAGAACACTGAAAGCCAAAGCCTAAGCATGGCCCGGCACTGAGTGCTTCTCAGTTTTTACAGCTTAACCTTCTAGACTCAAACTCAACAGAAGAGAATTAGTTCTCAGTTGTGAGGAATCACTCTGTTCTTGTTCGTAAAGGGCTACAGGTAGGGCGGCTTCCTGAATAAAAATCCAGATGAGATCAGACCTGTTTGTAATAGTAAATGTCCTCTGAAAGCATCGCTGCAACATGCTTGAAGCACGATATTGAGACCAGAAACACTTCTTCACTAATTTAGATTCTGCCAAATAGATGGACCCCTCTGCCTCCAAGCCTGAAATAGGCTGGGACTTGACCCTGTGCTAGAGGCAACAGCTGGGTTAACTCAAGACCCAGACTCTTTCTCTGATGCCAAAGGACTATCTGCTCAACGAGAGCAGAGTGGGCATCAGCGTGTGTGTATCTCTCTCTCTCTCTCTCTCTCTCTCTCTCTCTCTCTCTCTCTCTCTCTCTCTCAGAAGATGAAAATGTACAGCATTAGCACAGCCTACAGCTGGGAGGCCAGCAGCCTCTCACTCCCCCTTTCTCTAGGTCTTAACCCTGTTGGGCTTTTTGCATCTTGTCCTTTTTTAACCACCTCTCACTGAGGAGCCGCTGCTACATTTTGAAAAACTCCTCAGTGTCTTAGAAAAGTGCCCCTGCTTATTTGGAACAAGACACATACATCTGTCCTCCCCTGGCTGGGTGGGTGAACAGGTTCTGTGGTTTTATAAATACGCTACTTCTCCCCACAGGCTCTCTTTCGGTTTTCCAGGATAAATAGGAGATTTTTAGGGTCTGCGTGTCATTGGACAGAACACCTAACATGATGATAAAATACATTTTGTTTTCAGCCATTGGAAGAGGGAGTGAATATCACTACTGGGCGCCAGTTGTTTTTGCCTACAGAATGCCCACTGGACCTTACAGGGGAGGGCACGGAGTTCTAGTTCTTCCTTGTAAGCAGACTGCCTGTGCCCTGTTTTGCTACTTCACTGCCAGGGGATGATCTTAGTACTTTACCTGAGAGTTGCTCCTCTCCAACAGCATTTGCTGAATCAATGTCTGGCCTCGGGGGAGCAGGGGGCGGGGGGAGATTTTTCATATGAAACCAGTAAGTTCCTCTCATCCTATTCACATCACCCTGAAATGGAGACAGTGGTGACAAACTTCAGCTTATAGGTTGTTCGTTCCGTTTGCCCAGAATTCTTGCACTAATGGGTTCCATCACGTCATGTCTATAAATGGGTGCACTTTACTGTTTAAATTTGTGACTCTAATACTGGATATTTTAAGTGTGAGTACTGTCTTCATTAGAAAATAGCAAAAACACTCCTGTCTTTTAGTGTGTTTTTCAAGGGAAAAAAAAGGAAAGAAATCAAGCAGTGGATCACAACATTTATAGCACAAGAAATAACTTGTATATAAGCATCAAAAAGAGTAAGAATTTTTAAATACAAAAAAATATTTGCAGTGATTTTTAAAGTGCTTTTCCAGCAATGTTCTTAGGGACTCCTGAGACATGGTTACTTTATTTACTGGATCAGTAAGGCACACGATTAACAATTTAAAATTAATGTTTATTTACACAGTAAAGGGAAAGCCTGTGTAACATGAGAATTTGGCATGGACAAAATGGAGGCCACTTTGTATCTGCTGCTGTAGCTTGCCCAGGTCGCAGGCCGTGCACTACTAAAGTCCCGAGCTAATAGAGCACAAGCCCGTTTTGTTCTCCCATGTGCCCTCTTTTTAGATGTGTTTAACTTAAACTCGAAGGCTCAGGAAAATTCCAGTAATCAGAATCATGTACAGTACCCCAGGTCATTGTCCAGAGCTACAAGTTGGCTGATTTAGTTAAGCCTGGATTACTAAACACTCTTCCTAAATTATTGTAAACAGAACAGCTTAGAGAAAGGGATTCTTAGTCCTTATATTGTATAGTAGTTTATGAAACCCTCTCTAAATATTGGTATTTTTGTATTCCAGAGATGTACCCAATAGAAAAATTAATCAGTATCTAATTTAATATCCTTAAGTATTTTCCTTAGATTTTAGTCCTAGACATTGGGTTCTGTGGATGTCACCTTGCTTCACCATACTTTACCACTAGGTGTCACTGTGGCTCTGCACCAGGCTTGTCCAATAGCAAAGAAAGGCAGCAACTCCTCCAGAGGCTGCCTCTAGGGCAGCAGGCTGGCCCGTAAGCTCTGGGGGTTCAGGAAGGCGAGCACAGGTCTGCAAAGGGGTCTTCACACATCTGGGCCAGTTGTGAAGATGAGCTCCGTGAACACTCCCTGCTTCGGACCTTCAGCCAGGCAGAGGCGGGGAGAAGGTTGGCCAGCACTCCCTTGCTCTGGTGGGTGGATGGGTATGTAGAAGACCCCTTCTTTCCCGTGAGCATCCATCTCAGTCCCTCCTGGCCTCCAACTTTTATTAACTCCAGAGGTGTCATAGTTGGATGGTTTGATTCAAAGATAGTTATTTTTCTACTGCAGAAATGCCTTGGACAAAACCAGTTGGTCACTGAATCTTTGCCACAAAATGGAACAGGCTCCTGGGGGGGTCAGGATGTGCCTATCCCTGTCCCGGTCTCACCCACCCTGCCTCTCTGTCCCTGGGCTGCCCACTTCCCAAGCTAACCTGCAGAGCCGCCTGCTGCTGCTCCCGCACGGAGGCCGGCGCTGCCCTGCTGTGTGCGTTGGGAGGTGTGGCTTTTTCTCCCTTTCCTCTAGGAATTCCAGACTGACCATCTACCATGACTAACAACAATGAACAAAGGGCTTAGGGGTAAGAGCTACCTACAAAGACGTGTCATGGAAACCTTCACCATGCAATGCCTTGAACTCAGCTCTGGCTGCTCCCAAGAACAGGTGGCTGGCTGGGGGCCTGGACACAAGCACAATGGGGCTGGTGGAGCCATGTGCAGCGCTACTTGAATCACCACCAGGTCTTCATCAACTCCTTTTATAACAGACCACTCAAGGGCTGAAGTGTCGGTAACCTGCATTTCGGTGTCCAATGCCTCACAGCAGCTGAGCCACCCTGAGATGCCTGTGGCCACGTGATGGCCACAGTCAGAGCTTTGAAAGTCAGTACCAAATGAACGCATAATTGGACACCAAAAATCAAGTGTTACTTTCATGTTTCCTCACCCACCTCATCTCATTTCCTCCTGCCGACTCCGTGATATCTCCACTAAGCTGACCTGTCAGGTTTTAGCTGGATGCGTATAGATGCAGGCCAGCATCGCTTGTGTTTTTTCAGACAGACCTATTCTGTGGACAGGAAGGAGCCTAGCTGCATTGTTTTTCTAGCACTTGCTGGCTGGATTTTTCTTTTGCCTAATCACTAACCAAAACACTTGGTTAGGGGGACTCAACTCAATCCCTTCTGTCCCCGGGACCAGACAGAGTTAATTCTGGAAAATTCAGTACTTGAATGTACCTGCCTTATTGTGTACCAACTTAACTGGAAAAAAAAGTTAGAAATGCTGGCTCTAGATCTCTACTTCATTCACAGGTTATTTTGGGAATCTGTAAGTTACACTTCCTGTTCTGGCTTTGTTTCTCTGTTTTGTTTTTGTTTTCCTTCGGCTGATTCCTGCTGAGTGGGGCCGGCTCCTTGTCAGGCTCAGGACGGGTGCCTCCCTTCCGTACAGCACAGCACCTCAGTCTCTGTTCTGTCTCCTCCAAATCCAAGATGATTTCAATTAGTACAGACCTGTACAGTCTACAATTAAAAGAGTGATTTGTACTAATATGATTTTGATTCTTCCTCCTTTTGCTGTCCTTTCAAGACACTTGCTGGAAAAAGCTTTAATGCACTTAGTTTTCCTTTAGGTTTTCTATAACTCAGATGTAAAGGACTTTCTCTGTACAGTATATATTATCCAATGCATGTTTGTTCTCTATCCTGATATATTGAACACCACACAGTTGTGAACTCGTGCCGTGGGGATCCCACACCCACCAGAGGCGCCTAGCCCCCTGTGTATAAGGAAGGCATTTCCTTTGCTGTACTTGCTTGAGCAGTTTTATTGTCTGTACATGTGAGCTGTGTGAGATAGATGTGAAAAGTTAAGTGAATGCATTTTCCTGCCCATGTATACAGATCGCCATCTGTACAATGAACTGTATGTATGAAAGCAAATGTACTTATTTATAAATGGGTAACACTTGGAAAACCGTGGCGTTGTGGTGCTTTCTCCTTCCGTGCCTCTCCAGGGAGCTGGCTCAAGCTCACCCTCACTGAGGCCTGCGATGCAGAGGAAGCTCCCGAGGACGAGCCTGGCGGGTTAAGGCGAAGGCCAAATGCGAGATGGTTTGGTCGGTCTCGTGCGAGACCTTCCGAATCACCCCTTCAAGCTGTGGTCACTGGTTGAAGTGCTTGAGCACCTCCTTGGAGTTGGACACGGATAGGCCCTGGAGAACCGTGGACCAGAAAAGGCCGTCGGAGGGCCTGTCCGCCGAGGCTCACCGCGTTTGATGAGAAAGGGAGGCTTTTTCTTCAGTGGAAGATTCTTCTCCGGCCACACCAAGCGCACTGGCCCTGGTCCATTTGAATAGCTGAGGTGAGGCTGCTCCCAATCCAGCTACCATCCCCAAACCCAGTGAGAGCTGTTAGGTTAGAAGCTGTGCCTGAGAGTAGGGGGCAGCCCTAGCTGTCCCAGGGCTGGCTCGGTCAGCGCTGGGAGCCCACTGCCTTCAGTGGCTTTATGTTTTCTCCAGAAATCCGGCCGGAAATTCCAGTCCTCGCCATGCAGAGAGCTAGACAGATGCCCTGTGAATGGAGAGGCTGCAGATTTCCTGAAATTGGCTGTGGAGACGCCTTGTCTTGCTTACAAAGTGGCCAGCACTGAGTCCGGCCACCTTTCCTGCCTAGCTCCTACCTCTGTTTACTTTAGGGACAAGCAAGGAAGGAGACCACTTCCTCTAGACACCGGATTGTGCTGAACAAACATGCCTGCTGGGTAGCAACTTCCGTTTCCCCCCACACGACCAAAGCTGGGCAGCAGGAGACCAGGGGTGACAGCCACCCCGGCCTGGACGCCAGGACTGTTGGGAGAGGAGAGGGCTCATCTGAAAGCCATTCCTGAGCAGCCAGGTAACTCATTAAAACACAAAAATAAGATGAGTAAGGTTGGCAAGAGGGGAAAAAAGAGCTTTTTAAGGATGCCTGGGACAGTGGAAGAAAGGTGAAGGTAGTGACTCCTATTTTGCTAATCTTAAAAAGGAGCTTACCCTGAACCTGACTAAAAAAACAGCAACAGCAAGGTCTTGGTCCAATCCCAGAACTCCTTAGTCAGACCATCTTCCCCTGATTTCCATTCCCCACAGGCGCCCGTTAGCAGCTCCCGTCGCGCGATGCCCCGCTGCACACACGCCCACATGGTAGCCAGACCCCCTTCCACAGGCAGAGATGGGGGGCGGCACACAGCGTCATCCTCTCGGCTTTGAAAATGGGAGCTGGAGGGGTCTAGAGAAATTTGGGGACTGAGTGTGTCTGTTTCCAGGAACGAGGACGGGACACTCATCACAAGTGTATTGTGTCTGGGAGGCCCGTGGTGAGAGGGGAGGTCTCACAGAGAGGCCTTGTCCAGAGCCTATGGTGATGGGCTGTTTGGAGAGGCTGTGGATAGGGACTAGACGTGGTCTCTAATTGTTCTTCACATACCCTCTGGCAGAAGGCAGCATTCTCTCCAAAACAAATGCAAAAGCAGATCCCTGAGAACTTAAATTGACACAGGCAAAGGTGGGACCGGCTCAGACCTGCCTGCACGGTTTCCCTGTGCCAGGCTGTCCACGTGCTCAGGAGGTGACCCAAGAAGCAAGCAACCTGAACAAGGCAGCGGGTCAAGGAGGACGCCTGGAAAACGCTGCTTTGTGCTCCGTTGGAGAAACAGCTCTGCCACAGTCAAGAGGGGTCACTCTGGCACGGGGGGCGCTTCCAGGCCCTGTGAGGAGATGGATCCCTCCCGAGGAGGTGAAGGAGTGACACTGGAGGGAGGGGCGTCACCCTGTCTGGCCCTTTGAATGTTCACGGACACAGGGACCCCTCCGTCTCAGAGGCTCGCAAAAGGCCAGAGAGAGGGCACACTCACAGTCAAGGTGCCTCTGCCCCCGCCCGGAGAGCCCGCAGCCCTGACCCTCACTGAGCTCAGCTGTGTATCCAGCAACGTGCTTTGCATGCTTTTAAGCAAATGAAGGTCCACGGAGAACCTTGATTCGGAGAAAGACTCTACAGCTGCATAAAGCAGAGACCTCTGCAGCTCTGGCTCAGACACCGCACTGCAAAGGAAGGAAATGTTAGGAAGAGGCTTTGCTGCAGGATCCCCATGGGGTGAGCTAAGTTGGGGGGTCGTTTTAAGTGACAGCTTTTCAGGAGCACACGGTGTATTTCGTCCTGTGAAATCCCAGCAACGTTCCCGGGACCTCAGTTCCCCAAGAGGCATTTTTAAATTTTTTTTTTTTTTTTTTTTTAAGAAAAAGGTTAGTGGAATACTGGGGGAAACGTCTTGCTGAGGCCTTTACCAGCCCCTTACAGCTCCATCGTGCAGGCCCCTCGAGGGGTGAGAAAGGGGCTTCCCTCATCACAGGGAAGAGCCCCCCCAGGCCTGTGCCTGGGCAGGTCTGGGCTGTTTCTGAGCCTGTGTGCCCGCCTGGGGACATCCTGTTTCTCTCCACCGGGCAGAGCTGCCTTCATGTACCTGACTGCCCAAAGCACTGGCTCCTTATCGCCACAATAAACGACGGCAGCGGCGAGATGTCTGCTGTAGACATTTATTGAATCTCCTGTTGCATCAGCACTACATTAGCGTTCACAAAAGACTGGCCACAGGCAAAACACGATAAACTACCGGGTCAGCTTCTGGGGTTTTTGGTTCCCTAGTCACCCAACATACACTTCGGCAAACAGACTGGTTTATGGGCTTTTCTCACCTCCGTTTCTCTCTGCGGCCTTCGGGCAGGGGACAGACACAGCTTCCTCTGGTAGTTTGTCTAAGGCGGAGCTTCCTCACGTGTAAACATTGACTACACAAGTGTGTGCTCGGTGGTGACAGAACTGATGAAGCCCAGGCCCCCTCTGAGTGCAATCTAATCGGGCCAACGCCCTGGTCCAGGCAGGCTGCAGGGGAGGTGGCCGGGCTGGGGGAGCCGTGCCGGGGAGGGCGCCGGAGCACCGCTGCCTGCTGAGAAGGGGCCTCGCCGGAGGTGGCACCGGGGTCAGAGATCTGAGCAGCAGAGAAGACTACCCCCTTTCTCTAAGGCAGCGCGGGGCTGTGAAAAGGGCAACGGTTAACAAAGCACACACGCTGGCTTTGGAAATGTTATTAGCGTCTTCATTTAAGTAAACTGTGTCTGTCTGGAACTGTGTCATGCTCCTTGGAGCCCAGAAAATGAACAAAACAAGGAGCGAGCACTCGCCACGTCCAAGCAGCACAAGATCGATGCTCTAATCACGTTACTTCTAAACCGAAGCCAAACGGTGACTCAGCTCACAGCTCAGCACATGTGTGGGGCTGGGGGGCCCCCCCGCTTCCTGCAGAGACGGGCCCTGGCAGGTCAGGGCAGCTGGGGCTGTCCTCCCGGACAGAAGCGGGCAGCCCACCTCCCCGCTGAAAGGGAAAGGGGCGGGTGGAGCAGCTTTTCATTTATGAAAAGGCCGTGCCCTCAGCCCCTGGTCAGAGCAGTGCCTGCCTGGCTGGAGAGCATGGTCAGTGGGAGCCGCAGGCTGAGCTGCAAGGTAAGCCACCACGCCCAGCAGCCTAGCCGGGCCGCTCCCTCCTCTTCAGCTGCCCAGGAAGGCTTGTCTGAGCCCCATCCCCTCCCCGCCCAGCCATCCTGCGGCCACGGAACTAAAGAAGGGAAGGCTCCAGAGCCTCCCAGGGGCCAGCCCCGCCCCTCTCCAGGGGAGCCTCACTCTGAACCCCCACATAGTTTACAGATAGGATCACGGGCTCCACTGCCAAACCCCACGCTCATTCGGACCACGTGTGTCCCAGGCTAACGAGGCTCCTGGCTTGAGTTCAGTTACACAAAGCAAGTCTTGGCTTTGCCGGGCCTGTCGCTGAGCCCGGGCTCTGCCCTCACCACTGTCTCTCCTGGGGGAGCCGCTCTCTGACTCCTTCAGGGTCTGAGCTTCTGCAGCCTCCCAAACGCCTACTCCAAGTTTCTCCGTCTGACGGGGTGATGGGGACACCAGGGGCAGGGTCTGCGCATGACTAACAGGGCACTAAAGCATCGGTGAGGAGGGGGAAGCAGAGGTGGCCAAGCCCTACAACCCAGAAACCTTTGCTCAAAGAGGCAGGCTGCCCCCAAGGACCCCTCCCACTCCGGTCCCCACCTGCTCTGCCCAGCATCCAGGGAGCCAGCAATCTGGGAGGCAGCCCCCGGGGCTGTGGGGGAGACACCTGTGACAACAGGGACCAGAGGAGGCCCTGCGGCCGGCCGGCCCCCGCGCTCAGGCCCCGCCGCCCCCGCGGGCCTGGGCAGCCTGTCACTGGGAGCCGGGGCTGTCGCCCTCCGTCAGCGTCTTGAAGTCCATGGACAGGGCTTGCTCTTCGGCCTGGGGGGGCCGCTTCCACTCGGCGCGGGTCAGGATGTAGAGCACGACCAGGGCGAAGCCGGCCAGCAGCAGCCCCAGCACGTTGGCCAGGATGCCTTCGGGCTCAAACGTGCTGTACTTGGTCCTGCAGGGTCAGGGTGGGACGGAGAAGCCACCCCCAGGTCACCATGAGGCCACAGGCCATTCACCCCCAGCCAGAAGGATGCCTGCCCCTCCCTCCCCCAGCCGGAGAGAAAGCCCCGGGGGCTCACTCCCCAGAGGGAGCTGGCTCAGAAGGCGGAGGTTGGGGGGTTGGGGGGGCAGACACTCACCCGAGCTTAAACAGCAGCGCCTCCTTCAGGCCCAGCAGGGCTGTGCCCACGGACAGCAGGAAGATGGAGGCGCCGAAGAAGATGTGCAGGGGGCGGTAGCGGCTCCGCAGGGAGAAGGAAGCTCCGGGGAACAGGAAGAAGCTGAAGCCCACCAGCCACTGGAAGGGACGGCGAGGAGGGGGCCACGCTGGCCGTCGGCCCACCGAGCCGGACGGGAGCCCCTCGCCCACCCACCGGTTCCCTCCGCCGTCAGAGCGGTGCGGGGAGCACTGAGCACTCAGGTAAGGTCCTGGCCTCGGGCCTGGCCTCCCTCGTCATTCCTGCACCCTCGGGGGGCTGGGCCTTGGCCAGACTGCGTGGGTGTCAGCTGGAAGGGCGCCGGGACCCGAGGCCCCTCACCCCTAACATCCTGGCTTGAACCCACCTCAGAATCTGAGCGCTGCACCCAGCTGTGCTAAAGACTAAAGGGCTTTCACCTGAGGGCACACACGCACTGCCTTAGCTCCTTCCTCCCCACCCTCTGCCTGCCCTGCCCCCTGGTCCCCCCAGCCGAGGGGCGGAAAGGACTCACCTGCACCACGTAGAGAACGAAGGCGAGGAGGCCACACCAGCTGTGCAGGCTGTACAGGTCAGGGTAGCCCCGCTTCCTGTGGTGGTCGAACACTGCCACCAGGCCTGCGCGGAGCCGGGGGTCACGTGAGGATGGGCCAGTGGGGGAGGGAGAGGGCCAGGTGACCCAGGAGAAACCAGACCGGCTGGGGCGTCTGGGCTCCTGTCCCAGCACCCAGTGTCCCCGCCCCGCCCGGGGCGCCGGAAGGCAGGGAGGCGGGCCGTGCCCAGGAACTCACCCACCAGCGCCATGACGAAGGCGCAGCCGTGCAGCAGTCCGTGCAGGATCTTGGTCGTGCGTTTGGCCTCGTTCCTGAAGACGCGGTAAACCAGCAGGGCTGAGGGAGTGAGAGGCAGTCAGGCCGGCACCGGCCTTCCTGCCAGAGCAGCCAGGAGACACCCTGAGGCTGAGAGTCAAGGGCTCGTCCAGGTACGCCAGCTGCAGGACATGGAGAATGCTGGCCCCACCCCCATGGTCCGACACCTCCTGGTCAGGCATCCTGTGTATTCCAGGTTGAGCCACACGGAGATGCCCCCACTTCTGAGCTCCCCGTATGGCGGTGAGGGACCTCACACAGTCCGCTCTTTCAGCGGGCAGTGGGGGCCTCGCTCCTACCCAGAGAGAGGCCTGCCTGGCCTTCCTCCCCAGCCCCACGCACACTCAGTCTTCCCCCTGGCTCCTCCCGCCAAGTGCACCCCCCCGGAGGCTCCTTACTGAAGCCAGAGATGGAAGCGCTGGGACCCATTGGAAAGGGGGAGAGGAGGAGCCACCACCCATGTCTCCAGGCTCCTCCTCTGTCTTCTCCAGAATCTTAGACCTCAGGGGTGATGGGGTCACAGGGCCCCCCTCGGGGAGCGGCTCCAGGGAGCGGCAGGACTCACCGTCGGCCTGCAGGAAGACCAGGCCTAGGACCATGCAGAGCGGGTGCACGTTAAACTGCAGGTCGCTCTCCCAGGCGATGCCTCCACGGTACAGACCCAGCCAGGCGCCGGTCACCGCCACCACCGTGAGGCCCAGCAGCTGGGAGAAAGCCACACAGTAGGACAGCCCTGCAGGGTGGGGGCCGGCGCGGCTCTCCATGCTGAGGCAGCAGCTGCGGGAAAGACAGCAGAGCTCAGGCCCAGGCCCCCCAAGGCGCCCCCTGCCACCCCCCTCTCTGCCACCCCACACCCCACACTCGGTGCTAATGCGCGCTCACCAGCCTCTCCCAGCCCCCTCCACACCCACCCCCGGTTTCTGAGAGCAGCTCCGTGGGAGCTGACAGGAAGGAGTTAGTAACACACACTGCCTACAGTGAATGCAAATGAGCAGAGAGAAAACCTACAAACCTCGGCACTTTCACTTATACCCTTACATCCTCCTCTAGAAATGCACGCACAGTCTTTTATGGAAACAGGATCACACCAATTTCACCTGCTTTTCTGTCTGTAATCCTCACCCAAGGATATGCTTTTATTGTTTTGAGAGAGAGAATAAAGGAGGGAGGGAGGGAAGGAGGGAGGGAGGGAGGGAGAGAGAGAGAGAGAGAGAGAGAGAGAGAGAGAGAGAGAGAGAGAGAGAGAGAGAGATAAACATTGAGATTGAACCCGAAACCTGGGTAGGTGTCCCGCCTGGCAGTGGAACACACCGCCTGTTGGTACACAGGACACGACACCCCACTGACTGCACCGCTGGCCGGGGCCAGCCTGCTTTTCTAACTTAACGATGGGCGGCTGTTCACTTGTTAAACCCGAGCCCTCAGGGTTCTTCACACGCCTGGGGAGTGGAGTCCCGGGCGGGGAGGGCCAGGTTGTTAGGTCTTAGGCACCTGTGTCAGGTCATCTCCCAGACACACCTCCGTGGTGGTGGGACGCCTGAGTCAGAAACCCCGGCCCACGGGGACCTCTGCTGGATCTCCCTCCTCTGTCCTTGCCTGAGTCAGAACAGCCAGTGCCAGCTCCGTTCTCTCCCCAAACCAAACCCCGCCTCGCACTGTCCCTAACGTCTCTGCCCGGACATCCTGGCACACACTCCTCTCCGACGCCCAGGGAGCCAGCGCGGACAGCCCACCCCATCCCGGGGTCCCCCAGGCTCTCCCCCTCCCGTCCCTCCTGGCCACCTTCTTTGTCTTCATTGTCACCCCCAAGCCAGGGCACCGCACTTCTGCCCCATCGCTCTCCCCTCCTCAGTCTGTCTGACCGGCACAGGGCCGGCCGCTCACCCCGCCAGGGAAATGCCAGCTCCGTAACACGACCTTCCCTCAGGCGCCCCCGCAGCCCCGTCCACTGGAGGCGGTCACTGTTCTGGGCTAACGACACAACCTGTGACTCCCCGCCTCACACCCCTGTGCACCGATCCCTGCTCCCACACCTGCCCCTCTTCCCCCCCCCCCCACGCACCTGCCCCTCTGCCCCTCCCGCAACCCTCCCCCCCAACCTGGAACCTGAAATGGTGTGTGCTCAGCACTCCACCCCCTCCTCCCTGTCCCCAGGGCCGGCCTGGCGCTCGCTCACCCTTGTTGGGGTCCTGCTTTCCGTGCTCCCGCGGCCTCTCTGCCAACAGCCCTGGGAGCTCCTTGGAGGCTCACTCTCCTGTGTGCTGGGGTCTATGCCTTGCCCGACGCCATCAGGGAAAATGTGCTGCAGAGAAACGCCAGCCTGTCCTTTATTAGATTCACCCCAGAGAGCCCGGCCGCCAGAATCTGATTAGCTCTGAATTAGGAAGGACAGCAGGAACCTGCTCTGCCCCCGGGCCTGCCCCTCCTCTTCACCCGAGGGGGATGAACAGCCAGAGCAGAGCGGGAGCTCAGGCGGCCCAGGACCCGGGACCTCAGAGCCCGGGTGGTGATGCGGCCAGAGTGCAGGGGAGAGGCCTGCTAGCGGGAGGGCAGGGGGTTCGTCACAGGGAACCCCTGCCCTGTGCCCAGCACCTCCCACGTCAATAACCCCATGATTATCCCCATTTGACGGATGAAATTGGGGCTCAGAGGATAAAGGACGCGCGCAAAATTATCAGCGGCAAGTAGCTGCTCAACTCAGTTGTTTGCTGAGCGCCTCTCCTGTGCCGGACCCCTGCTGGAGGCCGGATCTGCACGGGAGAGGCCCTACCTTGCGGAGCAGGCACAGGTTTTAAAGTGGACGGGCCGGAAGAAGTCAAGCCCCAGGTTACACTCGGTTCCTAGAGCACTCCCCCCCTCGGATTGGCTGGCTGTGGGTGTTGTGACTTTGCCATTCTGATGCCCAGTCTCTAGGGCACAGCTGTCATCTTTCCAAACGCCGAAGCCAATCCGGATCCGAGTGGGAGCTGCCAAGGAAGGTGCTTTGGAGCAGGGCCCACGGCAGTCTCTCCCCGAGTCCTCCGCACCCCGGGCCGGTGGCCGGCAAACTCCTCAGTCCACAGAGCCAAACGCCAGCAGGACAGCGACTGACATGTCTTTGGAGAGCCACATTTTTTAAACGTAAACTTCTTCTAACGCCACTTCTTCAAAATAGACTCGCCCAGGCCGTGGTATTTTGTGGAAGAGCCACACTCAAGGGGCCAAAGAGCTGCGTGTGGCTCTCGAGCCGCGGTTTGCCGACCACTGCCCTGGGGGGACCATGCTCCTAAGGCAGTTTAACTTTAATCACATGACCACTGGTGCTCCTGGGCGCTGAGGGTGGGAAGAGCAGGTTAGGAGAGGAGGATGGCAGGCAGGCTACTATCAAGACCTCCGTATGGAATACTCCAAAGCAGCCCTCTGGGTCCGCGTGGACCCTGGCAGCTGGGCATCCAGCCGGAGACAAGAACGTCCTTTGGGACTAGGGAGGCCCAATCTGTTTCCCTCGTCCCCTTCCAATCTGAGGGTGACTCTCAGCCCAGCTATGAGGGGTGACAGGAAAACTCACACCAAGCAAGACCAGCCCGCCTCTGCAGGCCTGTGCCTTGCTGCCTCAGCATAAAATGAGATCTAAGCATGAAATCCAGATTCACAGGAAAGACACAGCGGTAAGCGGTTCTGTGTCTTACAGACGATGATCTGGGGGATGCCTTCGGCAATGGCATCTCCCCATTGCTTATTTGGTTCAACAAAACTGACAACCGATCTTTGTGCAAAGAGGGGCTGCTTCCAGTGTGTGTGTGTGGGGGGGAGGGGGGTGTCAGAGGAGACACCTCAAGGCTGGGTGGAATCTGACCTACCCACAAGGACGTTTGCGTCTGAACCCTTGACACCATTTGAGTTGCTTTTCCTCCTAAGCAAATGCCTCGGGGTCACGCTCCTTCATTCCCCAACAGGGAGAGCAAAGACACTCTTCGTCCTTCCTTCCTTCCTAGCTGGGCTGCCCCCTCCCCCCCAGAACTCTGGCAGTCCTTGGGCCTCCCTTGTTCCCAGCACGGAATGTGAGCAGCAGCTTCAGGGGCCCGGAAGCAGCCACTCTCCATCCCAAAGGTTTCTGTTGCCCAGGCCAGTCTATGAGCCAGAAGGGGCCCCTCACATGGCCACGGCCGCTCCTCTGTCAGAGCACAGGATGTGGCGCCCGATCCCTGGCGGCCCCTCAGCAGCCACCCCCCCCCCCCATGTCCACCTGCGTCAGACGCCACTTAGTGAAATCAGCAGCGACAGGAGCCGCCCGCGGGGCTCCGACGTGCTGAGCATCACGCTCCCTCCCGTGCCCGCTGCTCCGTTAAAAGGTCACCGGGCCTAATCTCGTTGCGGGGACCAGACACTGCGCACGTCCTAGGCCTGGCAGCTGCCCTTCTTGCCGACAGCAGGGCTTTAACTGAGTTACAGCAGACTGTGTTGGGGGTGGGGCTGGGGCTTTTCCTGCTGGGTGAGGGGAGAGGGGTGGGTAAATGAGGCATGTGGCCTGCCGGGCATGAGTTTGACATGCTAGCCCTCGGGCGTCCTAGAACAGTGGCCTCCAACCGGTGATTTGGGGGCCACGGGCGGTCCGAAAGGTGGGCAACCACCGTCCTGGACTGTGATGGAGGAGAGGCCGCAGGAGGGCTGCGCTGGGAGGTGGGGCACTCTCTGACCAGCCCACCTCCCGGGAGCCCCAGGAAGAAGCAGAGCTGGAAGTCGGACACGGAGTCCAGTTCTCCGTGAGGTACAGGGGACTCCGTGCTGGGACTCCATGACTTGTAGGGGACTGCCCCCCACCACCACCGCCACCAAAAAAAAAGTCTTGATTTCTGTTAAAATCAGGAGGAAAAACTTTTAGGGTTGAAGAAAATGTTTTAACTTTTGATCCAGTCTGGATGATACTTGTCTTTACACCAACACAGTCATAAAATATCCTATTTATTTACTTCCACTTTTATGGAGGAAGGGGTCCGCAAAGCCAAACGCCCTCAGCCATGGGAGTCACAGTGAGCCCCGCGCAGACCTGTGGTTTCAGAGCCGCAGGTCAGGACCGTGTGCTCCAGGCGGCCGGCTCCCCTGAGCCTGCTTCCCTGTCCATGAGGAGGACATGGAGATCCCCTTTCCTGGCCTGAAGCAAAGGTTCGGTGCAATTGGCCTGTGCCCAAGCTCCGCAGGCATTTAGGCAACAGCAATGGAACAAAAGCTAAGTCTGGGCTCAGGAAGAGCCACATTTCAAAAGCTGTTGTCCCCCGTGGTGTGGGGCTACAGAGAGCCGAGTGGTGTCGGCAGCAAGATCCCCCTCTAATAAGTCCACACTCCCCGCTGTCCGGCATCAGCCACACTGAGCAGAGCCCCGGGATCTGGGGTGATCCTTCCCCCAACTCCTTCTACTTTGGCTGAACAACCCCAAGCTCCGCCTGCCCAGGGACACGGTGGGACAAGGCGGTGGCTGCACTCTGGGTTCGAACCCCGCCCACACTGGGCTGAGGTGGTGGCAGCCCTTCCTCTGAATGGGGCCCATCTTGACGTTTACATGCTACTTCTATTTTCTGCCTCAGTCCAGTTTCACAGGAGAAACCAAGGTTCCTACAAGAAGATGGCAAAGCTTCCCCCCCCCCCCGGAAATACAGGAACAGAATTGAGCTTCATTTGATGAGTCTAGAAAATTCCCGCGACCACCAAGGCAGAATGAACGCGTGGAGAGGGGCGGGCCCTGCGGGGAGGGGTGCGGCGGGGCGCAGGCTCCACCTGGCTGCCTGGCGAGGTGCCCTGCCAGCGCCGGCGTCCAAGGCCTGCCTGGCCCAGCGCGGCGCCTCCGGTGCCCACAGTGCAGGGCCCTCCCCGGCCAGCCGGGCCCACACGTCCGCAGTCTCCGGTCCGGGTTTCAGACCAGCCGGGGGTGGACCACTCTGTCCCCGCTCAGCCTCAGGCCCTTCCAGCAACTCCCGCAGAGCCTGGCCGCAGGCGACCCGGGAAGGGGCAGGACCAGCTCGCTGCCCGCGGGCCGCGCTCGGAGGTCCCGGAGCCCCGGAAGCGACAGGTGCGCCGGCGGGGAGGCCGCCTAACGGCGCCCCGGAGCCCGGCCTGCTGGGCGCGGCCGGGGCGCACCTGCCCGCCCCCTCCCGCCCACCCAGGGCCCCCCGCCCGGCCTCCGCCCGCACCTGCCCGCCCCCTCTAGGGCCCCCCGCCCGGCCTCCGCCCGCACCTGCCCGACTCCCCACCCAGGGCCCCCCGCCCGCACCTGCCCCCTCCCCCCCCAGGGCCCCCCGCCCGGCCTCCGCCCGCACCTGCCCTCCCCCGCCCAGGGCCCCCCGCCCGCACCTGCCCGCCCCCCCCACCCAGGGCCCCCCGCCCGCACCTACCCGCCCCCTCCCCCCCACCCAGGGCCCCCCGCCCGGCACCTGCCCGCCCCCTCCCCACCCAGGGCCCCCCGCCCGGCCCCCGCCCGCACCTGCCCGCCCCCCCACCCAGGGCCCCCCGCCCGCACCTACCCGCCCCCTCCCCCCCACCCAGGGCCCCCCGCCCGGCACCTGCCCGCCCCCTCCCCACCCAGGGCCCCCCGCCCGGCCTCCGCCCGCACCTGCCCCCCCCCAGGGCCCCCCGCCCGCACCTGCCCGCCACCTCCCCCCCCCCAGGGCCCCCCGCCCGGCCTCCGCCCGCACCTGCCCGCCACCCCCCA